TACAGTTCGACCTAACCATTCAAATCCTAAAGTGGCGGTATTTTAAGTTTGTTTTTAATGCTGACATCGAGAAAATGTATCGCCAAATTTGGGTAGATCCGAAATATACTCCTCTCCAACGTATCCTCTTTCGTAATTCCGATGGGGACATCCGGGACTATGAGTTAAGGACTGTCACCTTTGGAGTCAATTGCGCCCCCTTTCTAGCGATCCGTGTCCTGCAGCAGCTCGCCGACGACGAAGCCTCGAGGTTTCCGCGGGCCAGTCAGATTATTCGGCGTTTTATGTATGTTGACGACATTCTTGCGGGAGCCGACTCCCAAGCCGAGGCGAAGCTTGCAATCCGCGAGCTGCAGGAGGCCCTGGGTTCGGCAGGGTTCCCACTTCGAAAATGGACCTCCAATAGCAAGACGATACTGGCGGGCATTAAGAGCGACCACCTCCTCCGAGCTGATTTCCTGGAAATAGACGCAGAGAGCACGGCCAAGACTCTGGGGGTGCGATGGAAGGCGACAAGACGAGTTTTTTTTCATTCCGCCAGAGTTGACCTCAGAGTCGGTATTCACGAAGCGCCAAGTCCTGTCCCAGATTGCCAAATTGTTCGACCCAGCAGGCTGGCTCGCCCCTTTATTGTCAGGGCGAAGATGTTCATGCAGGACCTCTGGCTCCAGGATTTAGGGTGGGACGACGTCCTTCCCCAAGAGTTCTCTCAACGATGGGTTGACTTCCTAGAGAATTACTCCGCGCTCGACCAAGTCCGCATTCCTCGATGGGTCGCGTTCCGCCCTCATTTAAAAATCGAGCACCACGGGTTCTGCGACGCTTCGCAGAAGGCGTATGGCGCCGCCATCTACGTCCGCGTGGAGGTCGAGTCCACAGTAATGACGAGCCTGCTAACGGCGAGGACCCGAGTGTCCCCAGTGAAAACGGTGTCACTCCCTCGGTTGGAGTTGTGTGGAGCTCTGCTGTTATCCGAAATGGCCAGTGCCGTGCTCCCGGAAATGCCAGGGCCGGCGTTTACCCTACACTGTTGGACAGACTCGACGATTGTCCTCGCCTGGTTGCGCAGACCGGCGTGTCACTGGACGACATTTTTAGCCAATCGGGTGACCAAGATTACCCAGCTGACCGAGGTGGACAACTGGGCACATGTCCGCTCCGAGCAAAACCCAGCGGATCTCGCCAGCCGGGGGGCAACGCTGCAAGACCTCGCAAACAGTCAGCTGTGGTGGCATGGGCCCCCCTGGTTGACGAAGCCGCGTTGCGAGTGGCCGAGTCAAAGCACCGACTCCCCCGTGACTGAACTCGAGACGCGGGCAATCAAGGCCCACGTCGCGATGACCCCCCCGGAAGACATTCTGGAGCGATTCTCCACCCTCGACAGGGCCTTGCGAGTCCTGGCTTATGCCTATCGCTTCATCCAGCGCTCTCGGAAGATCAAGCTTCCGGCTGAGGACCCCCTGACGGCGACCGAGATTGCCGCGGCCGAACGACTGCTGGTGGCGGCTGCGCAACGCAGCGCGTTCACCCCTGAGATCAGCTACTTAAGCCACGATCGACCACTACCGGCATCCAGTTCCATTCAAAATTTGAACCCGTTTATTGACGCACAGGGGCTCATGAGAGCCTGCGGCCGGGTCACGACTTCCGATCTTCTCCAATATGACGAGCGGCATCCGCTAATCCTTCCGTACAATTGCCGTTTGTCCCGACTACTTGTGCACTTTACGCATCGCATAACACTGCACGGCGGTAATCAGCTAATGATCCGTCTGATCCGCTCCAAATTTTGGATTCCGAGGGTAAGGAATCTGGTGAAGTTCGTCATCCGTTCGTGTAAAGTGTGTGTCATTCACCAGAAGAAGGTGCAGACGCAACTCATGGGAGAATTGCCCAAGGAACGGACGTCGTTCTCGCGCCCCTTCACCTACACCGGTATGGACTACGCCGGCCCCTTCGACATTAAAAACTACACGGGCCGGGCCTGTCTCATTACAAAGGGATATGTTTTGGCGTTCGTGTGCTTCTCAACTAAGGCCATCCATTTAGAGCCTACTTCGGACCTTACGACGGAGAAATTCCTCGCCGCTTTCGCGAGGTTCGTGTCCCGAAGAGGATGCCCCCGTCAAGTGCAGTCGGACAACGGGAAGACCTTTGTAGGGGCTGCGACACTACTCTCCCGTGATTTTCTTCAAGGCTTGAAGGGGCTGTAACGAGTGCCTATAGCCATCAACAACTTATCTGGCATTTCATTCCCCCCGGAGCCCCCCACATGGGAGGCCTTTGGGAAGCAGGTGTCAAAAGCTTCAAGACCCTCTTTTATAAGTCGACGGCAACAAGGAAATACACCTTTGAAGAGCTGTCCACCCTCTTGGCTAAGATAGAAGCTTGCCTGAATTCGCGCCCGATTGCGCCCATGTCCGAAGACCCCGCCGACCTCTTGGCTCTTACTCCGGGCCACTTTCTGGTTGGGGGCCCCCTCCTCACTGTGGTTGAACCCGAGATAAAGGGGGATACCACATCCATTATTAATCGGTGGCACCACCTAAAGGCCCTCCAACAGCAGTTTCGGCAGCGGTGGAAGGAGGAGTATCTCAAGGAACTCCATAAGCGAAACAAGTGGCGGGCCCCCTCAAGAGACCTCCGTGTAGGAGATATGGTGGTGGTCAAGGAAGACAACCTCCCGTCCAACGAATGGCGGTTGGGAAGAGTCGACGCGGTGTTTCCGGGTTCCGATGGTCATGTTCGTGTGGCCGACATTCGTACTGCGCGGGGGCTCATCAAACGCCCGTTAGCAAAGGTGGTTCTCCTGCCGATGGATGCGTCCTCCGGCCCACAATAGTCTATCGCCAATAACCGACGTCATGTGTTGTCTCGTAGCTCTAATCCGTAGTTCTTGTTCGTTGTCCACACCCAGTACTGATTCCTTTCTTCTTTATCATCATAGTCCAGCAGTCTACTCAGCACGATGCCCCCACGCCCACGCAATGCTATCGCACTGGAGCGCAGACGTACTCGAGGTACTGTGTCCTACCGATGCCGAGTCTGCAGGGGGATCCACCCATTGCGGAAGTGTCGCCGCTTTCTGCGCCTGAATGCCGAGAAGCGGCTACGGGCAGTACTCGCCAATCGGTACTGCCCGAGGTGTCTGGCCCACGAGCACTCGGACGGAGCGTGTCGGCGGGGGGACCGGTGCAAAACATGCGGCCAGGAGCACCACACGCTGTTGCACCTGAACGAGCCGCCGATGACTCCGCACCAACCGCGTCAGGAGGCGCGTCGGTCGCGAGATGCCCCCGCCACGTCTCGGCGCGCTCCCACTGCGTCCCGGCCGCCGTCCTCCGCTCCACGGAGTTCGTCCACCGCGCTCCTGCCCTCGTCCGTCGAGCAAAGGCAATCATCCCCCATTGGCCAGGGGCCCACGCGGAGCGTAGCCACGGCCCCGACGCTGTCGTCGCTTCTGCAGCGGCACTGCGTGAACGTGCTCCCGACCGCCTTGGTCCGGATTGACACCGGGACCCGGATCTTCAATACGGCCGCGCTGATAGATCCGTGCACACCTACAAGCTGCATCGACGCGTCGCTGGCGGCGAGTTTCCGGTTGCCTACGACGCGCGTTGGCGGTGACCAAATCTGTTCGGCCACGATTGGGTCGAGAATCGATAGCCATATCCGGCTGGACGTGATGTTTAAGATTGAGCCTCACGTTCGCATTCGCACTCCAATCCGGGAAGTAGGCGAATCGGTGCGAACCCACTTCCGGGACATAACATTGGCGGACGAGCGGTTTTACCTACCGGCTACGATCTCTGTGGTCCTCGGCGCGGACATGTATCCGCGAGTGATGCAGCCAGGGTTCGTTAAAATCCAGGACGGACTGCCAGTGGCCCAAAGCACCGTTTTTGGATGGGTCGTCTCCGGAGCCTGTCACCGAGCGATTGCAAGGGGGGGCAGGATGTTTAGATGAGGCCCACTGTGCCGCCTCTGCTCGCGGAGCTTTCCGAGCACGCGCCTCCCTTGCTCTCGCGCTCCGACTCTCGGGTCTAAAGTGCCGACCATCGGCGATCTCCCGCGCTCGTATTTGGAGAGCAAAGCGGCCGAGAGCTCGGCTTAGGTTTAAGCTAGTAGTTAGTCTTATGTATGCAGCGAAATAAAGCTGATGAAAACTTGAATTGCCCACGACGCCCCCGCCTTACTTAGTTTCGTTTGCGACGTGGGAACTATTCCTTGGACTACTTCCATCCAGGATCTTGCGGCAGGACGCCCCCTTCACAAAGGATTTAATTTTTTTAACATTTTTTTAAGGAGCATTTCGATTGATATTCTAGCCCTAGAGATTTCTGGGAAACCCCTCTAGTATGTTTTCTTCTTCCGGATTTCGTCCTTACCCCTACTACATGAAGAACTTTAAGCTTATCTTAAAAACCCTTTCTCAGAAATACAAATTTTATAAATAAATAATAAATCTATAAAAAAACCTCGATAAGCAACACAAAAAACCTTGTGAAACGTAAAAACTTCAATTCAATTCAATGCAACGGCAAATGCTTTATTTTATTTGACATCAATACATAAATATATAGTTTTTCTTCGAATACGAATATGATCCATCTATATAAGATAAGGAATAAAATACTTTGCTGGACACTTACACATTTATCTTCACATCAAAACATTTATAATCATGTATCACACCTAAACATTTATAAATAGGACTCCCTTCAGATTTGAAATCTGAAAAATATATATGTAGGTATTATTTGCAGACATTTATAGTTTGCTGAACTCCACAAATATCTAGGAATTGCGTTTTGCAATCAAAAAGTATACTCCTTAACTCTTCTTAGATTTAAATAACACAAAATGACTATGCCATGGTGATGTTATAACCAACTTATATCATTAAAATATCATCAATTAGGGATGCTAAGAATACTGTAACAGATTACTTAACAAGGAGATGAAGAGAGAGCGTAAGCCAATAAGTATACACAAGTATATATCACAACAGGGGGAAGGAGGTGTATTTAGAATACCCAAGCTTCAGTTCTTAAATATAATCCTCGCCATTCTTCAGCATTTTTTGTGCCTCTGCATTTAAAACTGTCTGCATCTTGCAGGTGAGCGAGCTATGCCGATGGATGGTGAAACGGGTGGTGGCCGGTGCGGAGGAGCTGTGGTTGTAATTCAACGCATTCTGCCGGCAAAGACCCAATCTGAAACAGTCAAATTTCCTTCAATAAATAACATAATCAATGAGTTTTATTTTTTAGCAACTTACTTCGACAACAAGGTAAGCAAGTCCTGTCGATACTGGGACGTCAGTATGGCATACAAGTAGGGATCCGCGCATGAGTTCAACGGATAAAAAAATACAAGCAATATTTTGGACTTGGTCACGTTAATCAAGGGAAAGCCAGCCAGGGCTGTGAGTCCAAAAAATGCAATGGGAGACCAGCAGGCAAAGTTTGTAAAAACCTAAAAGAAGACAGGAAGGTTTTAAGCTGGGATGTTAAGCGTTTGGATATGAAATCCAATGAAAAAATATGACACAGTTAAACCTTATTTGTGTCTTACAATATTCCTATTACATACTTACCAGCAGAGCCATTTTCTTGGCTACACTCAACTCGCCCGGATTGTTCTGGTGTGCCTGACGCGTCTCCCTACCAAGCGATAGATAAATCTGTGCATAGCACACGGCTATGATGGAGAAGGCCACGCCGTTGCAGCCCAGAATTGCAATCAGATACATGGTGTCGAATGCATCTCGGTTCTCCATCGGTAAGCAGATGCTACAATGACGAGACTCAGCATCGATATAAACTGGGATAAAGTCAAAAGACTCACCTTGTCGACGAATAATTGCTGATGCCAAACAGCGGCAGAGAGGACATGACCATGGAGTAAAGCCATCCCCCCAGCATTATGAGAGCTGCCTGTCGCATCTTAATACGATGATTCAGATACATGGCCTGCGTTATAGCCAGCCAACGCTCTATGGTAATCACAGTCAGTGTGAATACCGACAAATGACTAGCAAAAACGGTCAAAAATCCAGCAACTTTGCATCCCAGGCCTGTGTGAATAGGAATCGGAAAATAAATCAAAGACACAACCACAACTAGAAACCCACCGTATTGCCAGTCGTAGGCGTAGTTGAAGTACTCTCCTATTGAATGTGCATCAATGGAGGCCACCAGCAGGAGATAAACACCCAGACAGAGATCCGCAAAGGCCAAATGGCACATGAGAAAACGGGGTACTGGAGATGATTCGGGTCTGCAAGTGGAATGCATAGAAATGACCAAATTGCTCTATTATAATTATTAATTAAACTCATTACCTAATTGATAGAATAACTGTTAACACCGCCACATTGCCCACTGCGGACAGAGCAACCACAATCCAAACAGAAATGCGAAGCCATTGGTAACCCATGACATCCTCGCAGGGGTTCAAATCATTGGGCATGGGATAGCATTCAATATTTGGTTTTCTGCAAAATAGCTAATGGCATAAATCATCAAAATTATGACGGGCGACTCTCCTCACCTGAATGTGAAGTTGCCACAAAATTCGGCTGACTGCTTATCATCCGGATTAATGGTGATTTGTTCATGAAAGTATCCCAAATTGGTTGAATCGGCCATATAATCAATGGACGCAATGGGAAAGGGAGTGTTTTCTGTCATTGACGGTTCGGTGCTACCAAAACTACCAAAATCCTCCGGCTGACTGTGGATATTAGCTTAAGTATATATATTTAAATTTCATTATTTAATTTTATTTACGCTTCAAGGTAATCCAAAAGGGCTCTCTCCTTCCGGCTACATTTGTTGCATTGCTCCCGCCATTTCTCAATCTCCAGCATCCGGAGGGCATGGCGCCGGGGGTCATGCCGGGATGGCAACTGGAAGGCGCAGCAATGGAAAGAGTGCGTGAGATAGGCACGCTGTAGATTCTATTTAAGGAACACAAAATTAAACTTTAGTTTTAAGAAGGAAACTATGTGATGCTCACCCTGAAGTTGTAAATTGAAGGAATGGTTTTCAAGGTGTGTGTGTTCATTATGTATAAAGCTTCAATGGTCTGAAGTCCCACTGAAGGCAGACCAACAAGCGAGGTGCTGGAGAGATCGCTAATAAAGAATAACGAATAGTTAAAAGAATATCAAATTTAAATAGAAACACTTACAGTTCAGTTATATCTATAATACCATTAAAGGCTTCTGGATGCATCTCTGTTAGCTTCCAGTTATCCTTCAAGGAGCTGCAAAAAAACACTGTTAATTATTGCAAAGAAGCGCTCATTTTACCTACAGTTTGGCTATCTTCGAGCCAAAGAAAGCCGAGTCATCAACGTAGCTTATGTCATTGTTTGCCAAAATTCTATAAAGATTAGGAGAAGGTTCTCAAAAGATTACTGAAAGAATTCGGGACAAACAATTTATACAATACGTACAATTGTGCAGTCTTTACGTTTATAGATTTAGTGTCTATTCGAGTGATTTGATTATTATCGAGATCTCTGAGGAGAGAATTCAGTTAGCCATATTTAAAGTGTATCATTTCCAGCAACTCACATCATTTGCAGAATGTTGTGTGGTGGCAGGTGGCCCAGGTCCGGAACTCTGGTTAGCCCACTGTTTATGATGCGTCTGTGAGGATACAGCAAATAAATGCAATGACATGCAATGACATGTGTGCCTCCCTCAAACTTCACCACAATGTCCACTACGCCCTCATCATTCATTCGTTCATCCGTATTTTTGCAAAAAATCCCCCTCTTTGTAAATGTCAAAAACGCTGCAGGCGCTCAGATTTATTTTCAGTTTGGTTTTTCAGCTTTCGATTTTTTTTTCATTTTGATGAAAAATATCCGAGCTTTATGAAATATTTTAATAAAATAGAATAGTATAAAGTTTCGCGTTACCATTAGCAACTATTAGTCTGTAAATCAGTACAGCAGTTTATCTACAATACCTCTTCTGAATGTATTATTTCTCAATGAAGCAAGGCACAAAAACGGACAGATGTGTACCCATATGGAGTCCCTAATCTATGGCCACATTTCTGCAATTGTCAAAGAGGAAAAACTTACATTACTTCCACAGTTTCCGAAATGCCGGCAAAGACGTCCTTTGACAGAAAGGTCAGCTTGGGTGCATTGCTAATGTAGCTGCAAAGGAAAGGGAAAAGAAAAAGGGGAAAACCCTTGGTGATGGAAACAGCCACTTGGGCACAATTACAATCAGGCCTTACATTGTGCGCAGCATCGTTAAATTAGCAAAAGCGCCGTCCTGTATCAGTTCTAGCTTGAGACAGTCGGTGAAAGCCCTGCCGAATCCAAAGTCACATTCAATATGTATGTCTGTGGATGGGACAATATCTGATGTACTCACACATCCAGCAATGTGGGCCCATAGACCTTCAATCCTGTGCTGCGTAGGCGAGGCAATCCCGCCGACGCAATCGTCAATCGTTGGATGGGCAGCTGCAACGTTTGTGGCACCCGGGTAAGCGAATCTCCTTCGCAACGGCACTCTAGCTCCTCGCTCTGTGGAGGGAGAGGAAAAATGTTGGTGGTTTGCTTTACTAACTTTGTTTTATACATAATCCGTAATGGTGTTTGCAACAAAACTGAGTGAAAAGCTTCACACGAATTGCATTAAGCTGAAATTTCAAAGAATAGAGAGGAATTAATTAATAAAAGGCCTAGCTTTTCCTTAAATAGAAACATAAAACCCAGCTTTCAACTCTTCCAGCTCTGTTCTGGCAAGGAACTAAAAAGGATAATATAAATATAAACACTTATAGTTGACTGCACTTACTTGATTGGGTGTCTTCGAGCAGAAACATTTCCACCGGGAGGTGACCTTCGGCAATATCACGGTTATAGGTGCGCCTCTGACCTGGTTGTCTGACACGGGTTGTCTACCGGGTACATCGAAGCCATGGTGGACGTCATGACTGTTACTTCTGACGCTTTGCCCCTCGGCGGCCAGCATGGCGTATACGCGATGCGAACCACAAAACGATCCGAGCAGCAAATGATGAACAAAGAGCAACCGTAATAGATAGCCAATTGACAAGCACTTTATGCCTGTCTTTACTGGCCGACGGTCCCCCTTCCGGACCCAATGTGTTCGCCTTCTCCCCATTTAACTCAGTCAGCAGCAATGTCCAACGATCCTAAGCAAACGACAAAATCAATCGAAAATCAGCCAAAATCGCTCACACACCGCAACAGGTGAATTTCTTAAGCAATCATTGTGGACGAGAGACCGAACACCCCATGACATTACAGTAAAGCCTGTGACACTGCGAGGACACTGACTCGGGAAGGGAATAAGGCGAGCAAACAGAGCAAGCCAAAAGAGCAAATATCATTGGTTGGGTTGTTAATTAACATATGTTATCACAGGCATAAAACTCATATTTAAGCTATTGCATTATTTTTAGACACAGTATCATATCACATATCACGTTTCCAGGCAGATATTAATATTGAATTTATAAATTCCCCCCACACGAGCCATCGTCCCGCTTTACTGCTCTGTTTGTGCTTAATTTTAGTTCTCACCAGCTAATTGAAACATTCAGTTGCGCGTAATTAGTGATCCCATAAACAGAGATTGGGAGCTGGAATCTGGGGAATGGAGACTCCCATCCCCCAACTACTATAATTCTATTCGCTTATCGCTATCAGAGACAGAGACCTCAAAAGACGGTGTGCCGACAGGTGTGCTGGTGTGTCTGGGCCAGGGGTTCCTGCGGCTTAATTAACAAATATTTGTTCTCGCATGTGTTCTCTGCTCCATCTACATAGCTTTATTGCCTCGATCTTACTTTCGGCCGGCACAAGTGCACAATCTGACTATCGACTCCTCCCTCCCTATCTGTGAAGTGAACAATTTTATTTAATTAACACCTTTTGCCTGAAGGCGACCTCCCCGCGGAATTCGCGGGATTGCCATGAACCCTGGTCTAAAGACCAGATTTTTCACCGATTAAATAAACGGAGTGACAAAAATCTGGTGGCCATGACGTAATCCGTTTACAGAAACTATAATAAAACCATGGTGTGTGTATGTACAGTTCCTCCAACAAAACGCAAGAAAATGAGTTAAGCCAATTATTTACACAATATTTTGTTTGATTGGCACCTCGCCTGATTGTTTGCATTTAAATCAAGAGCGAATAGTTAGCAGTTTTCAAATTTAATTTAATCTAGTTCAAAGCACACACACAAGTCAAATCAATGATGTTTTGCACTTGGAAAATGAAGTTAATTTGCCTAATTGCGATTTTATTCCAGCTCCTTACATTTCGGGTGGAAGACACATAAGGAAAGGACATTAAAGGGATATCTCTTCCAGGCGATTCTCTTTTAATGAACACGATTTCAGCGAATGGTCTTGGTCTTTCTCTGGACACTCTCTGGTCGGAGACCAGTGTCGTTTTTAACAAATTATTGTTAATTGCCGCATTAACAACATTATAAAAACCAGAAAGGAAGCTAACTTCGGCACGCCGAAGTTTATATACCCTTGCAGATAGAACTTCAATGAATAGGAATCCATACAATATAAATTATATATATTATATATATATATATATATATATATATATATTATTATATTATTAAAAAACAATGAAGTAATACCTGCTTTCATTTCATTCACCTATACATATTATATTTGCAGTTTTACATTCACAGATTTGCATTTTTCCTCTACATCAAACGATCGTTTGTATGGCACCTATATGATATAGTCGTCCGATTTTTATGAAATTTGCCACAAAATTTTAGACTTATATAAAATGGCTATACCTTAAATTTGATGAAAATCAGCTGAAAACTAAAAAAGTTATAAATTTAATTGTATTAATTTCTCGATCGTTCCTATGGGAGCTATATGATATAGTCGTCCAATTTTCATAAAATTTTACACAAAATTTTAGAATACAATGAAATGGTTATATTTCAAATTTGATTCAATTCTGTTGAAAACTAAAAATGTTATCGCCACCGCGATTGTCAGTCTTCCGACAACAGCCACCGCCATTCTCATTCCTCTCAAATTTCTCGATCGTTCCTATGGGAGCTATATGATATATTAGTCCGATTTTCATAAAATTTTACACAAAATTGTAGAATAATATGAAACGGCTATATCTCAAATTTGATGAAAATCTGTTGAAAACTGAAAATGTTATACTTTTTAATTGAATTAATTTCTCGATCGTTCCTATGGGAACTATATGATATAGTCGTCCGATTTTCATAAAATTTTACACAAAATTGTAGAATAATATGAAAAGGCTATATGTCAAATTTGATCAAATTCTGTTGAAAACTAAAAATTTTATAATTTTTTTGTAAAACTTTTCCGATCATTCCTATGACAGCTATATGATATAGTCGTCCGATCCGGCCCGTTCCGACATATATACGAGTGAGAGTATATAGAAGACTAACTGCAAAGTTTCATTCAGATAGCTCCAAAACTGAGAGACTAGTTTGCGTAGAAACGGACAGACGGACAGACGGACAGACGGACATGGTTAGATCGACTCGGCTGTTGATCCTGATCAAGAATATATATACTTTATATAGTCGGAGGTGCCTCCTTCACTGCGTTGCAAACTTCTGACTGAAATTATAATACCCTGCAAGGGTATAACAAGTTAGTTGTAGCCCAGAGAAAATATCTCTGTATAAATAAAATTAGAATGTGTTATAGTCGAGTGGCCAGCATATAAAAATAAAACTTTCTGTTTCGCTGCTCTTCATGGTTAATGGTTAATAACTTTTATTATCATTTTGGTAAATTCCTTATCGAATTGTTACTCATTGAATTGTATAAAGAGATCACAATCTCATGTGAACTTCTCTCAAAGTCTATTAATATCTACACATTAGCGGACACATGGTAATAATGCCTCACAAAAATCGTTCATTTTCCCTTACACATCACAGCACAAATCACAGTGTAATTTCCACAACGATTTTAGACTTCTCAGTGCACTCTCTCAGTGATTATCTCCAAGATTACGGAATACAATCTGCCATTTGTTTCACACCCCATGAGTTTAATTAATAATTGCTGCTATATGCCAGACACAGACACCATAGATTAGCTCCCCGATATTTATATATACATAGCTTATCGCCACTAAAATCGAAATTAGACTTTTCGATAATTTTATGGCCAAGGTTGCAGCACTCGGGATAGTATTAATAAAATAAAATTATATGTATCACAGGAAATATGATGGGTTTTCTGGCCTTTTGGCGGTAAATTTGGTCAGGCGGTTTCTTTGGTAATGTTTAACATACACACACACACACTGGGTTATTTTCCACTTTTCCTCAGTAAACAGAAGGCAAGATGTTGCTCACCGGAATTGAGTTTATATTTTATTATGGCTTCCTCATTTGTTGCGTTCCTGCGCCGAAGACCAGTTAGGGATTAATGCCCAAGCGGAAGCCACTCGACCACCGGAACTGTAGGAACTCTATGGTCGGAAACGACGGAAATGAACGAACTGCCTGCCGAGCGCGACAACGACCGAGCAGCTCAAGTGGTGATACCAGAATGAGAGCTCGTCCGCGAGCTGCGGTCGAGCTCCGAGCATATTGACTTTGCCTGGGTGACCTTGTGTTTGTGTGGGCGCTGATTTCTGTTGTTGCTGTTGTTGCGGTTATTGCAGGTGAAAGATTTCCCTTTTATGAGACAACTTGTTGAGTTTCCGCATCGCCTGGCATGCGGTCACTATATTAAAAAGAAAACAAGAAAGGAAGCTAACTTCGGCACGCCGAAGTTTATATACCCTTGCAGATAGAACTTCTATGAATAGGAATCCATACAATATAAATTATATATATTTGTGTTAAAAAACAATGAAGTAATACCTGCTTTCATTTTATTCACCTATACATATTATATTTGCAGTTTTACATTCACAGATTTGCATTTTTCCTCTACATCAAACGATCGTTTGTATGGCACCTATATGATATAGTCGTCCGATTTTTATGAAATTTGCCACAAAATTTAAGACTTATATAAAATGGCTATACCTCAAATTTGATGAAAATCAGCTGAAAACTAAAAAAGTTATAAATTTAATTGTATTAATTTCTCGATCGTTCCTATGGGAGCTATATGATATAGTAATCCGATTTTCATAAAATTTTACACAAAATTTTAGAATAATATAAAATGGCTATATTTTAAATTTGATTAAATTCTCTTGAAAACTAAAAATGTTATCGCCACCGCGATTGTCAGTCTTCCGACAACAGCCACCGCCATTCTCATTCCTCTCAAATTTCTCGATCGTTCCTATGGGAGCTATATGATATAGTCGTCCGATTTTCATAAAATTTAACACAAAATTGTAGAATAATATGAAATGGCTATATGTCAAATTTGATCAAATTCTGTTGAAAACTAAAAATTTTATAATTTTTTTTGTAAAACTTTTCCGATCATTCCTATGACAGCTATATGATATAGTCGTCCGATCCGGCCCGTTCCGACATATATACGAGTGAGAGTGTATAGAAGACTAACTGCAAAGTTTCATTTAGATAGCTTCAAAACTGAGAGACTAGTTTGCGTAGAAACGGACAGACGGACAGACGGACAGACGGACATGGGTAGATCGACTCGGCTGTTGATCCTGATCAAGAATATATATACTTTATATAGTCGGAGGTGCCTCCTTCACTGCGTTGCAAACTTCTGACTGAAATTATAATACCCTGCAAGGGTATAAAAAGCCTTAAACTGCTATCCAGGAGGCCTTGCCTTTAGAGTCACACCTAGTAGGGAGCTGAAGCTGCCCTGTCATTGGAATATTTTCAGCCAGGAACAGTAGTTCGAAGCTAAAACCAAATCCAAAACTAAATATTACTATTTCGCTCCGATTCAAACAATAAACCAGCTGAAATGGATATGCTTTTCCAGTACAAGAAGGACCACACCTTCGACAGGCGCCGCAATGAGGGCGACAAGATTCGGCGCAAATATCCGGATCGTGTGCCCATCATCATTGAGAAGGCGCCCAAGACCCGCCATCCCGAATTGGACAAGAAGAAGTATCTGGTGCCCACCGATCTGACTTTGGGTCAGTTCTATTTCCTTATACGCAAGCGGATCAACTTGAAGCCCGACTCTGCCCTGTTCTTTTTCGTGAACAACGTGATACCGCCCACATCGGCCACCATGGGAGCCCTTTACCTGGAGCACAAGGACAAGGACGACTTCCTCTATATCTCCTATTCTGATGAGAACGTCTACGGACGTCAATAGACGCTCGGGGTTTAACCCACCAAAATCGTGTTGGCTTGTTGAGTTACTTTTACGCCATTTACCCAAGTTCATCAATAAAGTGACTCGACTGTCCCTAGCGTCGGTGGCTTCGTCATTCCAGACTCGTGCTGGGTTAAATAATCATCACAGTATGTGCTTCCCCTTTCTGGGAAGGGGCTCGCTAATCCCTTGCCCCTGGTATCGCCACTTTTTCTGGTCGATGAAAAAAAAAACATTAATTGAAGCGCTCAAAAAAAAAACAAAGATACAACTGAACTCACGGCTTAATTATAATTCAGAAATCGATGGCCCGTCCCATTCATTTAGAGCTACTGCAAATTAAACAGAGGCATCGCATCAAATTTCGTTGTTATTAGTGTTTGCCCAAGTTCACTAATTGGTAAAAATATGAGCAATAAAACCAGTTCAAATCGGACCAAAAGTGTGCTTATATGTGCTTTAAAAACATGCACTAAAAACTCGGAAGGTTGGTGGTTGGGTGGTGTTTATAAATGCAGTGGACTGTATTATTTTTGTCTTAGGTGTTTTATGTTTATTAATTCATGAAGCGTCTTAGAATAAGTTTTATAAGCGGGTGCGATAAGCGAGCGGTTGCGGGTAAATTCCAACTAGATCTAACTGGCGAAAAATAGAAACGTGCAGAAGAAAAATAAGATCGCGTGATGTCCCAATACTCATGCACATATACTGCATTTTGGCTATGAGTGTGAGCTTAAAGCTTTATGTTGTAAACAAGACAATTATGTTCATTAAACTAGGTACGATAATATGCAAAATAATAACAAGTAAAGAAGTAATAATTAACGACCGATTAATTCCTCAACATACCGGCCCCCCTGAACGACGGTTCAGTTCAAAGGAAGCACAGCAATTTTTGTAATGGGGCGCTTGTAAATTCCTCTGGCAGTTTTAACTGTGGCCACACCAACCCTCTGATCCTGGCCAGGATGAACCTCAATAACTCTTCCCAACAGCTACTTGCTTGGCGGCTGATTCGGCTCCTTTAAAACCACAAGGGTGTCCAATGCAACATTTGGAGCATCTTGTTGCCATTTCGTGCGAGTTTGAAGAGTGCTGAGATACTCTAAGTTCCAGCGTTTCCAGAACCCTTGAACCTTGGCCTGCAATTGTCTCCAGCGCTGCAGTCTGTCAATGTGTGCATCCAGGAAAGATGGCTCCGGTACCGAAGTAAGAGGCTGACGTGTTAGAAAATGAGAAGGAGTTAGCGGGTAAAGGCTGTGATCGCTGGGTGCGCACAAAGGACGAGAATTCAGAAGTCCTTCTATCTGAATTAACAGGGTCGAATATTCCTCGAATGTTAATGCACTGCTGCCAGTAACTCGTTTTAGGTGCATCTTTATAGATCGCACTCCAGTTTCCCAAATCCCTCCAAAATGGGGTGCAGAAGGCGGGATGAAATGTCAATTAATTTCATGAGTCGAGAAGAAGCTTGAAATCTCTTCATTTTGACTTTGGGCAATTGCGATCCGTTGCATCTCATCTAATTCTCGTTTAGCCCCATGAAACGTAGTGCCATTGTCCGAATATAAATCTGATATTGGCCCACGTCGAGCCCAAAATCGTTTAAAGGCGGCTATAAAAGCGGATGTTGTCAAATCACTGACCAATTCAATGTGTATCGCTTTTGTACATAGACAAACGAAAATTGCAAACCAAGCCTTTCCAAATCTTGGTGTCCGACCTGTAGATACTTTGATTGTTACAGGTCCAGCATAATCCAAACCAGTGTGAAGAAAACAACGGGCGGGTTGAACTCGGAAGTTGGGCAAATCAGCCATAAGTTGAGAACTCGTGTGTCTTCGCTGCATGAAGCAAGTTCTGCAATTAAATATGGTTTTGCGGACGAGGTTTCGGGCTCCTAGAATCCAATATCGTTGTCGTAAACTGTGAAAAGTGTATTCTACTCCAGCGTGTAGCGAGACAGCATGTTGATATCGAACAAGTAGAGCAGCAATGGGAGATTCCTTAGGCAGAATTATGGGATGTTTTGCATCATAATTAGCTATAGAATTGTCTATGCGACCACCAACACGCATTACGTTCTGCTCGTCTATAAAGGCGTTGTATCGAATCAACTTAGATTTCTTTGACAATGGCTGTTCGGTGATCAACTGCTTGTATTCCATTTTAAAAAACTCCTTCTGGACGTGGGTGAATATTCTAGATCGTGCGTATTGTAGTTCCCACGCCGACAGGAACACCGAAAGTTGATTCCTTCTACGAAGACGATGGACGAAACGAATGCAGTAGCTCAGAGTCCTCAATAAACGAGACCATGAGGAGGCTTTGTTGATCATACAGGTTAGCTCATTTCCGTCATCGGAAATGTGTAGATTAACCTTTGGCTCGGCCTTTACCTCTAAGCATGCCTGTTCTTCTGTCGACAAAACAAACTTGGCCTTAACGGGTGGCCAAGTTGAACGTGACTGAGATAACCAAGCTGGTCCATTCCACCAGATTTTATGATCAACGAGGTCCTTTGGAAATAGTCCTCGCGATGCGCAGTCAGCTGGATTATCACCACTTCTAATATGCTGCCAGCAGCTTCGTGGGCATGCCTCCAGAATCTCAGCAGTGCGATTGCAAACATATGTGTTCCTAGTCCGTGGAGATGATGATAGCCAATATAAGACTATTTCAGAGTCTGACCAACAATTGATTCTGGAAATAGGAATAGTTAGTGATTGCTTAACCAGTGAAATCAATTTCGAGAGTAAGTGGGCTGCGTTTAGCTCAAGTCGAGGAATGGAAATAGGCTTAATAGGAGCCACGCGAGTTTTTGCCATTATCAGCTTCACTGCATATCCATTATTGACCTCGACGCGACTATAGATGACAGCTGCATATGCCTGAGATGAGGCATCCGCAAATCCATGCAGTTCAATTGATTGGTGTGGCGCTGCTATGTAACGAGGCACTCGACAAGTTTCCAATACGTGCATTTGAAATACAAACTGTTGCCACCGTGAGCATAATTGCGAAGGCAATATCTCATTCCATTCGACAGAACTCAGCCAGCTATCTTGAAAGAGAATCTTCAACAACACAGTTGTGGGCGCAATCAAACCCAGCGGATCGTAGATCTTGGCTAATTCAGAAAGCAAAGTGCGTTTGGTTAAAGTTGTTGTGATTCTAGGGGTTTCTAACTTGAAGGAGATATAGTCAGTTCTTGGTTTCCAGCATAGTCCCAAAACTTTAATAACTCGATCAGAAGTTTCATGCTCGAAAGCGTCAGGAGGATACTCACAATTCTCCTGTGGTAATGACTTTAAGAGAGCGTAGCAGTTTGAGCTCCACTTTCGAAGTTTGAATTGAGCTTCGCTCAGAAGTAGAATTATTTCATCTTTGAGTGCAATGAGATCCTTAATTTTATCGCATCCAGTAGGAATATCATCAACGTAAGCGTCTCTGTTAAGAATGACTGCAGCGTTCGGATACAAATCTGCATAGTCGATCGCAAGCTGCTTAAGAACCCTGACGGCTAAGAACGGCGATGAAGCTAATCCGTATGTGACGGTCAGCAGTCGATAATGATCCAGTGGGGCGTTCTCCTCCTTCCTCCAAACTATACGTTGGTATTGCGTATGCTCGTCTGAGACCAAAATTCCTCTGAACATCTTTTCGATGTCAGCGCAAAATACATAAAGATGCTGACGGAAGCGAAGACATACTCAAATTAAATCCCTTTGAATAGGTGGGCCTATGTGAAGCCGCGAATTGAGCGATTGACCCGTGGAATCCTTTCCTGAGCCGTCAAATACCACTCGGCAACGTGTGGTAGTACTATCTGGTTTAAACACTGCGTGGTGCGCCAAATAGTTGCAATGTGCTGAATCCTCAGCCGCTGCAGCTGCAGGTATCAATTCCATGTGTCCTCTTTTCAAATAGTCATCCATAAATTCTACGTATTGTTGTTTTAGTCCAGGGAATTTCCGAAATTTCCGCTCTAAAGCGGCGAAGCGGTTTAAAGCCTGTGGCAACGTTGATCCAATTGGCGTAATGGGCTCCTTAAATGGGTACTGAACAATGTATACACCATCATCTCTGCGAGCATGCGTTGCCAGAAAGTGTTGTTCTGCAGGATCACTGGAGTCTATCGTTGCTTTACTTGGATGAACTTGTTCCATATCCATGAATGATCGAACTAACGAATCCAAATCTTCGTATGCGTGGTGGGCTTGTGCGTGCGTCCATGATTCGGTGCAATCGTTGAAGCTGCCTGTAATAACCCAACCAAAATTAGTGTGTAGTGCGATGGGGTATTCAATACCAAACTCTCGACGATTTCCAGTATATATGCTCCACAGTTGATCAGCGCCCAGAATAACGTCGATTTTTCCCGGAGCTCCAAACGTTGGATCAGCCAATGGAAGACTGAAAATCGTTTTCCAGATAGGAGAGCTGGTCTTGACCTGTTGACCTGGAATCAAAGAAGTCAGAGAACTCATAATTAGACCAGAGATCTCCAGGGTTGCAGTAGTGGTTCTTGAGAGCAGGGTAAAGCTGGCACGTCCTCGGCTAACACCAGCCGGGTTAGCACCTAATCCAGCCACTGAGATGCGAGCGTGCGTGCGTGAAATTCCTATCCTTTGGATGAACGACTCGGCTACCATAGTTATTGTCGATCCAGTATCGAGCAATAACCGACATGTGGTCCTGTTGCCCCATGTGTCGATTACATTGGCCAGAATAGTTGGCAGTATGGTTTGATTGTTAGCCCTCTCCAGAGTGTGATGACTAACAGCGGCAGTATCAGCAACTTGATCAGTCGTATTGAATTCAGCAGTAGACAGATGAGCAGGAGCCGAAGGAACCGATCGTGACTCAACCGGATGAACTAAAGTGTGGTGCTTAGCATTGCACTGACGACAAGTGTTCGATGAGTTACAATCCCGGACTTGATGAGATCGACTCAGGCAATTGAAGCATAGCTTAGTATCCCTGGCGAAGGTGCGGCGGTCTAGTACCTCTAGAGCTTTGAATTCAGCACATGCATATATATTGTGCTGACCTTGACAATAAATACATTCGCGGGACTGCTGATTTGATCCACTTGCATGATAGGCGACTTGGCGGCGTTTACTCTGGGCTGGTCTTGACGGTTGTATTACGTGTAACTCCTGACAAGACTCCAAAGTATCACAATGAGCAAAAAGGAAACTAAATAAATCATTTATGGTGACCTCTTCTTTGACCGACATATTACAGTTGGCCCAAGCCTGTTTGATTTCAGGACTTAATTTTGAGAGCAAAATATGAATTAGCCATACATCGCGGCTGTCGCAGTTCAGCGCGTGCAGGCCACGAATACATTCGTCGGCAGAGTCAATTACATTACGTAACTCAGCGATATTCGAATTGGTAGCGGTAGGCAACGACAGAAACTTCTGAACAAACGTTCGAGCGATGAGCGTTTTCTTGTTATAACGAGTTTCCAATTTCTCCCATGCGTCTTGGTAATTATCATTACAAACGGCAATATGTTTAATTAGGGACAGAGCTTCTCCATCCAAATATGATTTCAGATAATGAAACTTTTGGCACTTAGAAAGCTTGTTGTTATTGTCTACTGAGCTTAGAAACAGATCACTAAACTGGCTCCAATCCTCGTATTTTCCAGAAAATATGGGAATCCGAATTTTCTCAAACCTTAAATCAGTTGCTCCCGATGAGGAATGAATTTGTTCCAATAGTTGGTTTTGTCCCTCAAATAGACGTTCCACTGTACTTGAGAGCAAAATGTTAGACTGGTCTTGGCCATAATCTTGCCCTCCCATCTCCTTTATGGCTTTACTAAAAATAGCGTGCGCGCTGTAGAACTTGTCTTCATATTCGGGTAGATCCAAGCCAGGGTCTTCATATCCCTCCTCCATGTTGTATGCTACTAAGTCCTCGGAGAGCTCCATAAAGTGGTCGAAAGTTGCTACTAAACGATTCAGCTTCACCTGCAGAGTTTCCACATTATCACATATCTCTGAAAACTCTTTTGCGCTGTTAAGGGTGCGAGTTATTTGCCCCTTGCAGGCACCACGTTGTTGAATCGTCCGATGCATTATTGGGTTCATTACGAAGAAAAGTCTTTATCTGTGGTTTATTATTCACGAAAATAAACACAAAAGCAATCGCGGTTATCCGGCTACTCGAACGGACCAAAATTTGTTATGTTTATAAATGCAGTGGACTGTATTATTTTTGTCTTAGGTGTTTTATGTTTATTAATTCATGAAGCGTCTTAGAATAAGTTTTATAAGCGGGTGCGATAAGCGAGCGGTTGCGGGTAAATTCCAACTAGATCTAACTGGCGAAAAATAGAAACGTGCAGAAGAAAAATAAGATCGCGTGATGTCCCAATACTCATGCACATATACTGCATTTTGGCTATGAGTGTGAGCTTAAAGCTTTATGTTGTAAACAAGACAATTATGTTCATTAAACTAGGTACGATAATATGCAAAATAATAACAAGTAAAGAAGTAATAATTAACGACCGATTAATTCCTCAACAGGTGGGATTTGAATAGGTTTGCGATTGAATATTGCATTCAAAACAAAGTTATTTGACAAACTAATTGACACGCTTGGATTAGCAAAGGAAACTTTTAAGCGAAAATGTTTTTAGAATCATTGAGACGTTTCCTGGGTACTATTCCACTATTTACCACCCACAATCTAGAACCCAATCAGGCTTACATTAAGTCATCTATTTATGATATTCATTGACATGTCTAAGCTTCAAGCCAGAAATAGAGATTAATTTAATCAAAATGCACATATTTTTATCAAAAGTATCAAAGGTTGAAGAGGAGCCAAAGAAGACATATATTTTACCTACATAGATCTCCCTACGAATATGCAAATAACTTCATTTCTTTGAAGAAATAATAGTAGACCCTTTAAAATTACAACTCAAAAAGTAAGTAAAAGTGTTCTAAAGGTAGAGTACATACACCAATGATCAAACAACTAGTTCAACAGCACGGACTGCAAGGAGAGAAAAGTGCACTTGATTTACGTAATAAATGTAAAAATAGAAACGCAAATAATAAAATATCTAAGGTTAAACAAGACATCATCAAACAACAGCTGACTGTGAAATCTAGCGGAATTGTTATAGACATTTGATAATATTCTGTGTTATACATTTTAATTTAGCTTACGATTTGCATATCATGTTATTTACAAATGCGAACCAGCCACTAATTGACTAGATAATCCAAAGTGAATATGGATACAGTTACGGTCAAAATAATAGCAGTAAAGTTCTAAGAAATATAAAACATTTCAAGTTGTTGTTATTGTTGAAAGATTATTACAGTTTGTTGTTGATTTTATATGGAGTAATCTTAGTTTTTGTAAATTACTACACTATTGTAAAAGTTGCTACTTTACAGTTCAGAAGACAATGTTACCACACAACAATAAACAAATATATACAGTTTACTACTTAATCCATATGAATAAATAACACAGGAATGGCTATGCTTGAGCATATAAAAATACTATTACTTTTACCGCAGCTGTAAGCTCCACATACATATATCATAACATTAACAGAAGCGCAAAAAGACACAAATTAATCAATTGAATTAAGAAATTAGTGAGTGACCGAAAATAAATGACAGCTTCTGGGTTATCTGGCAAAATATTTGTCACCACAGACACCAACAATGTAATATACGACACAAACGGACAGAGTGAGCCCAGTGGTAAGAGAAAATAACAAATATCTTTGTATATAATAATAAAAAGCGTTCTCAATTTGCGTATTATTAGCAATGGAAATCAGCTTAATCGCCGGGCGGCTGTGTTGGATCCAATTCCAAGCTGCTTTTATTTTGGTTTCTTTGTTAAGCCGCAGCAGCAGCAGTTACATAAAACGGGGATATACAATTCGGCGGCATATAAATACAGTTTAAAAACTCGATAAATAAATTAAAAATGAATTTAAAAGAATTAACCTAAGTGCGCCAGGCATTTAAGTTAATAGCCGGCAAGTTGGGATCATCACAGCCTATAATTTGATTGCTATAAAGATAAACAAAAGAAGAAGCTGTAAGGAAAGTGCTTCGCTCAGCTTTTGTTTAGATTTTTTCACTTACCCAGGATGGTCGGCGCGTACGAAGGCGGCCAGTGGCACCTCGTGCAGTGTAAGGCGGTCGGAATTGTCGCAAATCAGACGGGCCAGCGTCACCTTACGCACCTCCTGCAACTGAGCTGGTCTGAAGGCTCCTGGATTAATCGTATCATCGTATTCGTAAAAATAGCGATCACCTTGCTTAAACCGCGCAAACTGGTCGCCAATGATTTCGGCAAATGTAACGCCCACAACGCCGCCATCGACGGCCTTTTCCAGGAGCCCACCCACCCACAAATCAATGTCATCGGGTGTACGGTAAACGCTAGCCAGCTTTTGACCAATCTATTTGAAAATAGGAGAATGAATCAAATAATTCATTTAAAGAGTGCAACACTCACCTCACTGGGAAACTGCTGAAAGCTATGCAGCTTGGCTGAGCCCATCAACTCTAGGTAATCGTTGTAGCTGCGCAAACCTTGGTCGCGTCCTCGCTGAATATTAATGGCTGCCAAGTCCAAGCCAAAGGGATTATCACCTCGGAATAAAAAGCGACTAAGCTGCTCGAGAGTAATTACAATATTACAATATTAGAAGCCATTCAGCAAATTAGAAAAGCAATGCTTACACCCTGGCTAATGGAGCTGTCGACCTGTTGCATCGGCTGGCTATAGAGGGTCCGCAGCATGTCATCGTAGAACTCGCGTTTGCGCATTCGGGAAGGATTGAACATTACATCCGGTATATTAACTACTTCATCGATGTGACCCTGCTCCTGGCGAATGTGAAACTTTCCATCGACACTGAAGAAACCGTGAAAGAAATTGTAGAGCTTATATTTTTGCTTACTTAACACGTAATTCCCACCTGGAGTGACCCATGCGATAGGCAGCGCCGGAGAACTCATTTGTTATCGCCGGATTCACTTCAATATTGTAGTCACGGGAATAGCCCTGATCCAATGGCACTAAACGGAAGCGTTTCATCTGCTGCGGCCCAATAATTATGGGCAAGAACTCGCTGTACGTGATGTGCTGCATCTCGGCAATGACGATGCGTCGAGCCTCCTGGAAGAGCCACTCATCGCTAGCCGAAGGATTTAGCTGGTTCAAAGCGTCCGCTACACGATTGTGCTCCCGAGCTAGCAGGATCTGAAGTGTGATCAACGAAATAATTTGATTGGTCCTTCCATCGCCTGATAAATGTATCATAAATAATATAAAACCATTAAATTATCAAATTTACAACTAACCCGAGTTGAAGCAAGACTTCCCGGCTTCCTCGCTGGGACAGGCGGTCTTATCGTTGGTCAACGGCAGCAGTTCCCTTCCAAAATCATTTAGCATTCGCAGACGGCCGCCTCGGAAGGATCTCAGGCCGCGGGAGGCCTCCTCACTTGATCCATAAACCGGCGAGGCGTCCACAAAGTGCGTCACCTTGCTCAGTTGCTTGCCATAGCCAAGTTGGCAGTCGGGACTGGGTACCAATGACAATCGTACAAAGTTCAAGCAGCGTACTCCAAAGGCAGAGAAAAACTCATCATCCGGCTCTACCATGATCGGCATGCAGGCAAAGTGACTTTCTTGTGGACTAAGAGGGGCTTTTCCCTGCGGTGAGCAACACTGCACCAGACTCCCGTCCTCGAGTCGCACCGAGGAAGATTGGGTAACGTCATGAGCCTGGAAATGTTTTCATTAATTATCAAAGATGTGTGCAAGAGTAGGAGCTGCAGGTATCAAATCCCACACAACAATTACTTACCAAAACCTGACCGAACTGCATCACCAGGAGATTATACCTTGGATGTGGACGATCGACATCTGCGAGCAGAGTACGGGATATATGACGAGCTCCCAACAGTGGACTGCCATCGGACCGAGAGTGAATACGCGGCGTCCAGATTCCGTCCTCGTAGGCTGGGGGCAGCAGGCGTTCCATCGGCTGGCCAGCGGCGCCCCACAGAGAACGCCGCGGCAGAGGATTGTTGCAGGTGCCATCCAAACTGCGATAACGCGAACGCACTTGCCGGCAAATGCGCGGTGGTTGGCAGTGCTGGGCCAACGGCGTCTCCGTGAACTGGACGGGCACATTGTTGGTAATGAAATCGTCGACGGGCACTTGCTCCTTCTTCCCGAATAGCTGTGTGGTGATCACCTGTTGGATGGCACTGTTCGAGATGGCAAAGTTCTGCAGGTCATCGTTGGCCGTCGAATGGAAGACCAGGCCGTGAGCAAAGTCAGGGAAGCCTCGCCGTACGGGAATCTGTGCCACTCCGTGCATCAGGTGCTCGAAATTGCGCCTGGCCTCATCCAAAATGGCGGGCGAGAGGATGGCGGGAAAGCTGCTAACTGCCCGCTCCCTAACGGCAGCGGTGTGGTTCTGGCCCGTCTGGCAACAGTAGCCCAATTTCCCAGCTGGCAGATCGCAAATCTGTGGCTTTTCATGGCTTTCCATGCGAACATGCGCCGGGCATTGGATTTTTGGCACACATTTAACACCGACGCACGGCGAACATTTTTTCAGCAAAGCGCTAGTGGCTAGAGCGGGACAAACATAGAGTCAGAAACCGTTAACATGGGACAAATGCAAGCATAAAGGAGAAGACCAAAAAAGAGAAGAGAAATAAAAAATTTACCTTTTAACCAAAAGAAAAATGATTTCATTCTTCTTAACTTAATGTTTCCTTACCTGGTTCCGGTTTCTTTGTGGTTATTGGTGAATTGGTCACTGGCGCTGGTGTCTGCTGGTCGTCGATATCTTCGTTAAATCGGTTTTGGCGCACCGAAAATGCCGCTGCATCTGATTCGCTTAACTGTGTTGCAAATAAAATCTGCCAACACAGCAGCGAAATACACAAAGTGCGATTCATATTAGGAATTATACGCACATTAAATCTGGATAATAGTTTTCAAATCGGAGATCAAACTGAGCTACTTTCAAGTGCGTGCCGCCAATTTTATTTGCTTATTTGTTCGAAATTCGAATATAAGATCATTTTTAACAGCACTTACACAAGTAACAGTGTACTGTAAGACGCAATGGTCGTGTCTAACAGTGGTTAAGTATAAGACAAATTCTATTTTTTTAATTAAACAACAAATTATTTATTCAATTATAATTTTTAAGAAAACATTTATGTGTTGTTATTTTCAAGAATTTTCCAAAAAGCCATCTTGGAGCGATTTCGGGATCAACAGGTAACTTCCCTCGAGTCTGTCTATTGGACTGAATACATAATCCGGCACAATGGATCACAACTTTCAACTTCACAGTCTGGACAGATTGCATTACTTTATAAAAAAGAATTCTTATTAATCGGTTTTTTAGGAAATATAAAATTTTTAATTAAAAAAAGATTCCTCGATAAAAGATTAAGTATTATCCAACAGTCTTAAACTTGATGTAAAATTTATATGTATAACAAACCATAACATGTCGCACAGTAACCAGCAAATATAACAGGTATCAGGGTTTTCAACCCTTTATGAAAGTTATAACAGTATGGAGTAATGGTTCAATATTATACTTTCCTTTTATTAGAGATGGAAAACCAACTATGATTATTGCCAATAAATCGATAAATACATCCGATATAGATAATTGAGTATCGAACTTGTACCACCACTAGATTTAGGTATACACGCTTGTTCGTCTGTTTTCACTAGTTTTTGCATCTGCCTATCAAATCGAAATCTGGCCATCTCCAATGTTAACGTTCTCGTTAGCTGTAAGAGCTATTCGCGCGAACTTTCGAGTCTCGAGTTCAAACATGAACATGCTTAGGGTACAACTAAAATTAGCTTAAGTTTCTTTTAAACTTTAGATTTGACATTAAATTGGTATATCTTAATAGTTAATAATTAACATTTCCATTTTAATTTGAAACAATTTGAAACTGTTACAGTTACAAAAATAAGTTAACAGAGTGTAAGTTAACATATCTCTATCTCTTTTTAACAGCAAAGAGAGTGCTGATGATGGACAGTGGACAAATGGGTTAGGTCTAGCTTGAAATAGGCTAAACTCATTTTTAAAAATTGAAAAGCCTTATAACGCTCGGACCAACAATTGCCAGTCAATATTCAATTAATATGGTAAAATGATCTGAAAAATATATCGTATATCCGTCAAAAATTATAATTTCGAATTTGATTTAATAGATATAAGTATTGGTGTGCCAACCTTAGTAAAATAAAGAAAGCTATACTGGCTTTTTAGTAATGCAGTCGATATTTTCTGCGACCTCGGAGTCGCTGAACGACTAAAAATATCGTATAAGCAGTTTGTATGGGAACAGTTGTTTTGGGTAGCCGATACTTTCAGTAATTCAATCATTCAGTTGTATAGGAAATTCCTTATTCTCTCGTAAATGAGCCAACTATAATGCCGCCGACACAATCGATGTTACTTCAGTTATTTTCCCATTATATCTAGCGTTCTTAAACTCCCAAATTTTTCGGAGCGAATCTGGCGTAATTTTTGCTTTAATTCATTAATAAAATAATAATGTATTTATTCTCGGTTATAGCTTGTTTTTCAGCATTTATTTGATATATTTCAGCATTTATTTGATATATTAAGCTTTATTTCCTTATTATTGCTCAGAATCTACCCCATACCGGTAGTCATAACCTGGCATTATTCACTTAAAATTTATGGAAATTTTTAAATTAAAAATAAAAGGCTTTAAAATTTATGATTTAATTACGATGAACGAATAAAAAACCCTATCAAAGCAGTTAGAGAGACCGAAAGGCAAATAGATAAAGAAAAATTGCGGAACAGAATAGCAAACAAAACTGCCGGTGCTTTCCTACGTATTAGTCCGACTTAATAAAACAATTGTGATATCTTTTAGCGCAACATATAGTTTATTTTTTAACAAATAAGTTTACAAACCCGATTTTTCGCATTATGTTTCTGGGGTCATATATTAAACTAGCACGTCGTTTTCTTAACATATATATAAATAATAATAATCAAAATGGACCGCGTATTGTTTTACAAAAGATTTCAGCATAGTAATCATTTTTCCAATTCATAATAGATGTTTCTAGTTTAAATATTTGAAATTAACTTATTTTTTCATATAGGAAATTTCAACTGTTTGGGATTTTTTAGGTAAAAGGCCTAATTTTAGTCTGGCAACACTGGCATCTCTCTCTTGCCCTCTCGACAGCAGAGAGAGCGCTGATGGTGGACTTTTCCGTCATCATTGCCAGATTTAAAAAGTTGTCTGTTCGCGAAGTTGAATGTTTTTTCGTCTGCGGACGATTGTCAAAAGTTTGAATATTCTTCTATGTGTAAGTGTAGATTTCTGGTGGAGAAAAAGCCACGGCGTAATGCGAATCCAACGCCATTGAGCAAAAGCCCCGCGCGCCGCAGATCGAGAAATGCGTCAACAAAAATCGGACGCCGGACTTTCGCCCGAGTGAAAAATTCAGTTGCCTCTCTCGGTGCAGTCGCGGAGGCTGTATGTGTGTGTGTGTTTGTGTATGCATATGCAAATGATTGGATGTCGGAGCAGATCCTTGCATCATCTTGGCGAAAAACCGCAGAAAAGCGCTGAAAGCAGAAACGTAAAACCTAAAAACCAAAAAACCGAAAACCTCCCAAGCCAATCGCCATCGTCGGCAAAGGCAGCGGCACGGCAGCGTTAAAGTGAACGCGCAACAAACGGCTCGGCTCGGACTCTCGTCTCGGCTGGCAATTATTTATAAATCGTTAGGTTAGCCCCAAAAGCAACCCGAAACCGGACAAGTTAACAATTGCCGCATCGTCTAAAAAATGAATTGTGCGATATGCCCCTTTCGTATCGTGTAAACGCGAAAAATCGGCATAGAAAGAAAATAATTACGAAAAATCATTACTGTCCGTTTCGTTCGTTTCCCAGGCGTGAGAGCGAGCGAGAGCGGCGTATGCATGCAGCCCGGCTATCGAGCAAGTGCAAGTGAGACGGAGACGGATACGGCGTGTGCGTGTATAGCCGCCAAATGTGAAAAAAGAGAGAGAAATAGAGAGGGCGCGCTAGCGAGAGCGAGTTGAGAGAGCACGAGCAGGGTTGCCAACGCTCGCCGAAGTACGCGGGCAGAAATAAATTGTTGTGGTATTGGTGTTTGCCGTTCGAGCCAGCCAGCGAGTGAGCGAGCGAGTGTTTTTGTGTGTGTGTGTTAGTAGCGGACTTTTCAATACACAACAGCGCAGCGCCATGAACGAATACAAATTATTTATGTTTCCCCCGCCCGACTTCTAAGCCCAGTGGTGCGCTTGCTGCCTCATTAGGGGCAAAGGCAAACAGTTGGGGCTCCGCGAATGCATAATGCTAATCCCAGTCTTTGATAACTTGCAGCTAACATAACCTCAAAATCGCCGCCGCAGTCGTCGTCGTCGTCATCATCAGCAGCGTTGTTGGTGGTTCCTGGTGCTCCCCCGGCCGCCACTCAACCGACACCGCATCTGGGACATCGGGAGCAGCCAATGATCAGCAGCAGCCATGAATGAAAAAATAAAATCGCCGCAAACGCAGCAGCAGCAGGGAGGCGCTGCTGGCGGAGCCCCCGCCCCAGCGGCCACGCCCCCAACGGCTGGAGCAGCTCCAGGCGGTGGAGCGGGTAACACGCCGCCCACCTCTGGTCCGCCCACGCCCAATAATAACAGCAACAATGGCGGTGACCCAAACATCCAGCAGCAACAGCAGCAGCAGCAGAATGTTGCCCCACACCCGTACGGCGGACCACCGCCACCTGGCTCGGGACCAGGTGCTCCACCTGGACCGGATCCGGCGGCGGTCATGCATTACCATCACCTGCACCAGCAGCAACAGCATCCGCCACCGCCTCACATGCAACAACAGCACCACGGTGGACCGGCACCACCGCCGCCAGGAGGAGCACCTGAGCATGCGCCCGGCGTCAAGGAGGAGTACGCCCACCTGCCACCGCCTCCGCACCCGCATCCGGCGTATGGTCGCTACCACGCCGATCCTAACATGGACCCCTATCGTTACGGCCAGCCTTTGCCAGGTGGGAAGCCCCAGCAGCAGCCCCATCCGCAACAGCAGCAGCCGCCGCCACCGCAACAGCAACAACAGCAGCCAGGACCAGGTGGCTCTCCGAATCGTCCGCCTCAGCAGCAGCGCTATATTCCCGGTCAGCCGCCACAGGGACCGACTCCCACGCTAAATTCACTGCTGCAGTCCTCGAATCCGCCGCCACCGCCGCAGCACCGGTACGCCAACAGCTATGATCCGCAGCAGGCTGCCGCTTCAGCGGCTCAGCAGCAGGCAGGCGGCCCACCGCCTCCTCCGCCAGGACACGGACCGCCGCCACCACAGCATCAACCATCACCGTACGGGGCGCAACAGGGAGGATGGGCTCCGCCACCGCGTCCCTACAGTCCACAGCTGGGACCGTCGCAGCAGTATAGGACACCACCACCGGTAAGTCAAGAAAGCAGGGGTGCCAGGACAGGACAAGGCGGTATCTTCCAAGACGGACAAGTTTTTAATTGCTTTAAAGTTGTTAGTAAATTTAGCTTCCTACCGTTCTGTTTAGCAAATATGTATAGGTTTTGTTTCTAAGGTCCAAGGTCTGAACATTTTTTTGGTTATTTTTAAGGTGTAGTTGTTTTTTTTTTATATTCAATCTAAGGAATATTTATATTTTACGTTTTGGAAAATACTTTCGAAGTATTAACAAATATGCTTGCCATATACAATGTCTATATTAAAGTGAGGTATCCCATTTAGTTTTTGTACTACCTTACAGTATAACAAGTCAGTTTATAATATTAGTATAATATTTTGGATGCTTAAATTTAAATATCTCTGGGATAAAGTATCTACGGTACAGGAAAAATAACTATTTTGCTGACAATTGTATAGATGTATCTTTGAACTTACTCTCAACACAAAACTCTTAAGTTTGTGACACGATTTAATAGCTCAGTGCCGGGAGACAAAGATTCCTCCCACTTTCATCATAAATTAAGAACTTAAAGCCCGCGGATCTTATCGTATTCTTTCTTTCCTATGGGTTTGTTTCCCTCTTATTTTTTAAAGCTTTTTTGACATTGACACTGATTTTGATTCCATCGACCCCACACACACACACACACAAAGACAGACATTTCCATGTGCAGGGCCTTTATGCTAGCTATCTCCTTTACCCCAACACCCATTCCTGCGACGGGGGCTCGTCACGTTTCGTGGCCATGTATGGCTGGCTGTGGGAGTGTGTGTGAGTGTGGTGCATGTGTGGGAGGGGAGGCTGCAATATTTACTGTTACTTTTTAGGGTTTCGTCTTGGTCGCACTTCATTCAGTTCACCGAAGATTTGCCAAGTCGAAGGCGGAAAAAAAGGCACAAACAGCAGACAGGCACACTGACACACATAAAAACATTGTACAGTGAGATTCCGCGCCTTTTTCGCCATCGCCATTGCCCCTCCTGCTCCTCCTTCTCAACCCCACCCCTTGACATTTTGCTGTTTAAGTGCCGGGTGTTGTTGGGTGAGCCGCCGGTTGAGTGAGGGAGACGGACAGCGAGAGCCGGCACTTGCCGCCGCAAAACAATAATAACAACAAAAGGCCGCACCGCAACGGTAAAATGTAGAAGAGAAAGAGGAAGAAGAACAAGAACCAGAAAGAGTTTTGTACACACAAAATGTTGAGGCATTTCATTCACATTTTTAAGGGTTTTCGCTTCTCCCATTCTTCTTGTTCACATTATCGAGGCTTTTGTTGGTTGAATCTGATTGGAATAAGTTAAAAAGTTAATTATTTTGAAAGTGTTTGAGATATTTGCTTGATGAGTTTTCATTTTCTTGCAGGGTATTATAATTTTTGTCGAAACGTAACAAAGGAGTAATTTTGACTTTTGTTTTTACAAAAGTTCGTTTTAAGAGGTGAAATATATCTTATGATAAGAAACTTTAAACACCCAATTTAAATCAATAAATTGGCATTTTTCTTCAACAACCCACTTCGTATCACAAAGAAACCATTAACGTTTGTCAAATTGTTGAATTTATTTAATATTTTTTAGTTCAGTTTGTTTCTATTTGCTTTGAAAGGTAATTGAAATTTAGAACTTATCTAGTATTACTCTTCAGTTCTCATTGTAATCCCTCAAATGCCGCCAAGAGTTTGCTATCAGTAATAAAGAAAAAGTAAGCGATAATTTTTTTTCTGCTTTAAATGTTTGGTTTATTGGCCCCCGTCGACGATGCACGTGATGTGATTTCACGTTTCGATTTAAATGGAAACCGGTTGGTTAATTGCTTTATTAGTTGAGGTAGTGAAGTGTTTTTTGTTGCGAAGCCTTAGCAATCGCTGTGATATCAGTGGCCCGATTCCGTGTGTATGATATCTCTTGGCACACTTTATGCACGGTCGTCCAATCAAATCAAGAAGGAGAGATGAAATGATGATCAAATCAGATGTGTCTCGACTCTGTACGAGTCAACGAACTTTGATGCCGACGATTAGCCAAGGGAAATGTATAAACAAATCTATTTCCAAGTTTATGCGATGAATTGCACGATTTTTGAGAGCATGAATTCGAGATACAATTTAAACACAAATTGCAGTAGTTCATGCTAGGGTTATGCACAGTTCTCATTGGGACACTACATTAAACATCCCTCCATCCTACATATACCATTCAGATTTTAAACCTGCTTGCAGTACAGAGTTTTCATATAGTTTTAGAATGAGTGAAATATAAAATTCGGCTGGCCCTTGACAGCATTGTGAATGTTTGCATGAATTGGACGCCGCATAAACGCAGTATATGTGAAAATACACACAAATCAAAAGTGATCCGCTAAGGTTAGAGACATGTGCGATGCGATGCGACCTTCGAGAGCTTTTGTTTAGGGGCATAAGTACATATATACCGGTGAATGGGTGTACAAGTATTTGTAGTGCGAGATAAAAAAAGAGTAAAAACAGCAGCAGCTCCTATCCAATGTCATGTGTTTGATTTATCTACCTACCCCTCCCGCTCTTGTTGTGCCTCGGCATGTGTTTGTTTGTATGCATAAACAAAGAAATCAAATTGCCGGCTGAGTGTGACTTACGCGTGCATGCAATAAATACATTCATGCATATGTATATACGTCATGTACCGTACATCCACATAGGTACAACCGAAACGGCAATGGCAGCAACAACAACAATGGCCAAGTAGGCACCGTAATCAAAGGCAATAACAGAGAAACTTGTTGTTGTCACAGCTGACTCTGCCGCCTTCCTCTCCCACTCGCACTCATTCTTTGGGGGTAGGAGGAGGAGGAGGAGGAGGTGAATGAAGAGGCAGAGAGGAGGGGGTTAGCCGGCAAGCTGTGGAGGAAGCAGAAACCAAAACAAAATAAAAATGAAAATCAAGTGAAACCGCGCACAGTCAAAAGAGGAGGGCTCGACTATGATGATGACATGCCTTTGCGCTTTGCTCACTCTCCTCGTACCCCCCTCCACATTCCCTTGGTGCTCCTCTTCCCGTCTCACCTCTTTCCTATCGGTGACACATACCGTTATGCTCAGACTCCTTGACGAACGGTTTGACAAACCGTTGGATTCTCCTTTGAGGTCAACAGGTGCAAGCGAGCCAAGGAGCAGAAAGAACAAGAAGATGAACAAAAACATCATTTTTGCATACATTAAGGAGAGTTTTAAAGAGTCCAAAAAGAGAGAAGGCTTCATTTTTGGGTTGGGAAAAGGCCGAACATCCACTTCTTCATTGCATTAACCACTCTTTCTCTGTTTGTGTCTTTGTGTGTTCCCTTTGGCCTTCTTCCTGCTCCACCTCTTGTTGCTGTTTTATTTTTATTTTTTTTCCAAGAGAGTTGTGTCTGTGAGCCGGCTTGTTTATGTTGCTCATTCGTATGTGTGTGTTGGGTTCCTTGTATTGGAGTGCCTTTAAAGTTTGACCTACAAAATGTGGAGCACACAAAACCGTTGCCTTAACTGTTATTGTCCCTGGCGTTGCTCTGCCTCCTTCCCATCTTCTTTTCTTCTTTTCTTGCTCACTCTCAAGGGTATTTGGTTTTGTCTCTTACCAAATCTAATTTCACTTATTCCTTGAGGCTTCCTTTCAATCAGAGTTACTTATATTTATTTTCGTGTAAAATATTTTAGTTCTGATCTTAGCTAACTTTTATTTATATTCAAAACATCCATATCCCTCTATAGAAGCCACATTGAATGGATTTTAATTAACGGCTGAAATCAAGAAATTTTTTCATTTTGCAATATCCAATTTAATTAGTTTCATAAAAAAGCAAAACTAAATAATCGCATATTTTGCGACAGTTGCCGTTGCCGGGCATGATTGCATTTTCAGTTGTTTATCTTTCCGCAACTGCTGTGAATGGGCGCGTGGAGAGTGTGCGACATTGTATTAAAAATTACGCTCGTTCGAGTTGTGCACGTACATAATTCCATTCCCAGCAGAGCCTGCAGGGACAGGGACGTCCCTGAACCCTCCTGATTGCCACCCTCCTCTTCCTCCTCCTCCACTGAAGCTGGCAGTGCCACAGTGCCACCTCCTCATCCGCATAGCACACACAACCCTTACAACTGCCGGCTTTACCTTTCTGCCTCGAAATCGCATTTGCCACGTTTTTCTCCCTTCGCACAATTTATATGCAGGCCTTGCCTGTCCGTCCGTCCGTCCGTCCGTGGGTGTGTTTCTCTCTGTGTGTGTGTATGTATATATCTGTGTCTGTTGGTTATGAAATTATAAAGCCAGGAGCAGGAGCAGGGAGCAGGGAGCTAGAGAAGCAGCAGAAGACCACTCCCTTGGCTGCTGTGTGTGCGCTGCGCTTTGTTTTTGTTCCCGCGATATTTTAATACATGTAGCCGGCTTTTAGCTGGAAAACCCACCACCATCGTACACCATCTCTCACCATTACCAGAGCCGAACCACCATCAGGCAGTTGTTTCTGTCCCTGCTTTCAGCTCCTGCTCCTCCGCCTGTGCCTCTCCATTCCATGAACTCTTGAACGTAATTCCGACCGACGTTCCAACCGTCATTCGTTCGTTCGCTCGTTCGTTACACTCATTGTATGCCAGGCTGTGAAATGTGTGTGTATGTGTGTGTGTTTGTGCCACCGTACGACCCTTGCTGCATTAATTCAAATTCCACTTCAGCTTCTACCCCGCCCGTTGTTGGCGTTGCCGTTTCTGCTTTTGATTTTCATCCATGATGAGTTTTCCCTTTTTATACCCCTTGTCAGAGAAGAGTATTTTGGGCTCAGTTAGCAGTTTGTGCTGCACTTAAAACTAAAGTTAAAAAGGTTATTTTTTATGTATTTAAATAATCATTTTAGTTTGGAGAAATTTGAATCAAATATTGTGTCATATATTTTTTTTTTTTACTAAAATAATAATCATTTTAGTTTGGAGAAATTTGAATCAAATATTGTATCATATATTTTTTTTTTTACCAAAATGATTAATTTCTTACATAGCAAGCAGTGGCAGAAAAGTTAGGGTATTAAGACTGTGGATTGCCGCACTTAGCTCCCTTTCTCGTTTCGTTTTTACTTTATTTCTCGTTGCCTGGCTTCGTTGGTTCGCCTGGCTCGTTTCGTTTCGTTTCCTTTGCTGGTTCGTTCGGTCGTTCCTCACACAGATACACACGCACACGCACACCGAGTACGAAAACCATCCATTCATGTTTCCTGTCACCCTGCAGTGGACCGACCGACCGACCGTCGTCGTCGTCGTCGTTGCTGTCGATTGTTGTTCTTGTGCTCGTTGCCCGAACGACGGGATCTGGCTTTAGCTCTATGGTTCTGTCCCATGGCTCTGGTTCTTGCTACGACTCCGGCTTCCTTTCCTTGCATTGCCATTCCTTTCCTTTTGGTCAGGCTAACTATGCTCTGCTCGGTGGCCTGCTGCAGTGATGGCAGTGTTCTCTAGTAGGTTTCTAGCGGAAAATTTTGGTTTAAGGAGACAAAAAATAGATCTTTTATATCTCTTTATATTTTAATACCTTCATGCTAAAAGGCGAGTTTATTTCCAAACAAATGTAAATTCATGTTATAACCCTAAAGAATTAGCTCTTTTAAAATGTATTTTTAATCATTAATCAGGGTTCATTTGCGTGTGTTCATCCTCATGTTCATTTTACTATGATTGCTCTATTATTTTTTTTTTTAAGTATTTCAAAGCTTTAGAGCCATTTAAATATGTATGACGATTTGATCGTTTTTCTTATAATAATTTTTCAAATACTGCTCATAATAATCATCAACATAATAATCAGAACTTCAGAAAAGGCCAGAGATGTCATTAAAGAAGCCAAGCTGGATGCACTGGGACTCTTTTATTCGTTCCCTCCTTGACTGTGAGTTTCCATTAGATTTATTGCCACATTTTACTCCGGGCTGTGGCATTCGCAGTGATGTTGGCAGCAACATTTGTGTGTGTACGCCGCTGAGGGGGTTCCTTGGGTATGGGTTTGGGTTTTGGTCGGTGTTTGCGAGGGCGAGGGCGAGGGCGAACTGTGCTCGTCTGTGCGAGCTTGGCAAGCGCCTCTCCACTTGCCATGTCAGACGGGGAGCGCTGTTTGCGACTCGGTCCGCCTTGTCGCACCACGTCAAGTTGAAAATCCTTTCATTAATGGCATCCAAAGCTCTTTCCCACACACATACAACCACATGCATGCTTGTTTTTTGCTCATCGTCCTGCTCCAGTTGTCTGCCGCAGCACAGAACACGGAGCAGCACAAGCCATGTTACGTTCCGAGGCGAGGTGTCTTCTCCTTCTCGGAGCTCCTTTTCCCTGGCTTTGTGTTGCAACTTTGTCGTTGGTTTGGCCGCCCGCTCCTTGTGTGTGCTTGTGTGTGTTCATAAGTTTCACTTTATATTCCACTCAAGTGGATTTCTTCTGGCGCTGTGACGGGTCACGGAGTACGGCACCAGGAGCCAGGAGCCAGAAACGGCTGGCAATCGACAGTCGGATGGACGGACGGACCCCTTCCCCCTCGTGCTCTGGCCTCGTTTACCCGTGTCCCTGCCCTAAGTTATGCGTCTCTTCCTTCAGGACTGAGCTCCGTAATTTGAACTGATTGGATAGGACAGACACAGTTGAGGATGCATTTGTAGGTCTGTGAAAGAATTGTCAAATGAAATTTTTGTAATCGCCTTTTAATACTATCCTGTAGTTGGAGAATATTTTAAGTAACTTTTTTTAATACAACTTTTTGAGAAGTCGCATAAAATCTATTAGTTAAATTTTAAAATTTTATATACAGAGATTTTTCTTTGTCTTATAATGTAAGAAATGCTATCGTTTTACCCACGATTGTCTGTAATCACATGTGTGGGTGTATTTGCCGTTATAGCGGTAAATATTTCAACTTTTTATTGCCAGCATTTAGGTTCCTTTCGCACAGCATATTTTTTGAATTGTCTGTTTTTTAATCTGCACATTTGTGTCTGTCAAGTGACAACTCACCCGCCAGAGGGTGCGTCGTTGCTCCCCATCCTCCTCCTCCTCCTCCTCCTCCTCCACCACCGTCGTGTGTGTTCGGTATATACACACACGCACACATCGACCTACAGTGGGCGCCAAATAATTAGGGACATTTGGTGCCCGGGTCAATTCCAATTATCGTTGCACTCGGCTTCAGGTTTTGTGGCTCGTGGGGACTTTCAAACATTAATTGCTGGAAATTTCCAATGTAGAGACAGACAGAAAGAGAGAGAGAGAGAGAGAGAGAAAGAGCTCTAATCCGAGGACATCCACTGTACAAGGATATACGAGGGTGTCTTTGTGTGCGTATTTGTGCGCGCATTTACGGGAATTGGTTGTTGGAATATCGATTAAAATGATATATATGTATGTATATACAATAAAATGGAATGTGCATCGCACACAGACGCACAAGCGAAGCCAAACGCAAATAATTGATGAATTGCATGCGGAAAGAGTGCGGGAGGATATAAATAGAGAGAAAGAGCGAGAAGATGTCTGTAATTAAAAACCCATGTGTTGTCTCCTTCGGGCGGCTGTTTAACCCTCTAAATTCCCACGTGACATATCGGCACCTACTCACAAAATGGTTTTTAATTATGTGAACAGTTTTAATATTTTAAGGCTGATGGATTCATATCCTTAGAATGTAATTTTGTATTGATTTATTAAGATTTAAGTCATGATTTTATATTTCCCCGTTTATCTATAGAGCGTTTTAAATGAAAGTTTTATTGAGTTTATACATGTAATCTTAGAATGTATTTATTCATAATTTGACAGCTAATTAAAGGACGTTTTAGACAATATTATATTATATTATATAGGGTTAATTGAACACGTTATACATTCATTTTGGGGGTAACAGGCGGTCTCGCCTTCCTTTGACTATTATTGATCCAATTTCGCTCTTCCATCTGCAGACAAACACTTCCAGGGGTCAGTCACCCTATCCGCCGGCTCACGGTCAAAATTCAGGTTCCTATCCTAGTTCGCCGCAGCAGCAACAACAGCAGCAGCAACAACAGCAGGCGGGACAGCCCGGTGGTCCTGTTCCCGGCGGACCTCCACCAGGCGCCGGGCAGCAGCAGCAGCAGCCACCGCAGCAAAATACACCGCCAACATCTCAATATTCGCCGTACCCGCAACGCTATCCGACACCGCCGGGTCTGCCGGCAAGTGGACCCAATCATCGAACTGCCTATTCAACGCACCAGGTAAGTTCCGAGGGAGAGTCGCTCTCTGTAAGAGGTAGATTTAATCGATCAACTTTCGATTTTAAACCATTTGCAGTATCCCGAACCTAATCGGCCTTGGCCAGGCGGCTCATCGCCCAGCCCGGACCCGGACATCCCTTGCCGCCCGCCTCACCGCACCACGTGCAGCCGTTGCAGCAGCAACAGCAGCCACCACCGCCGCCCCATGTCACCGCGGGTGGACCGCCGCCCAGTAGTAGTCCGGGGCATGCTCCGAGTCCATCGCCGCAGCCATCGCAGGCATCGCCCTCGCCGCATCAGGTAAGTGATTGTGATTGTAACCACCGTGAAGTTTGGAATGTAAAATTATCAAAATTGGAAAGTGAAATGATCTATCGGAGTAGGAAATTATTATTTCAATTTAATTTGAGGAGTAAGTGCTTCCCAAGCATTCCGTGTCCTCAATCAAATGAGGATATATTTATCATTGCTATTTTAAATGGGCCAACGAACTGCGTTGTAGTCAGAACAATTGCAATGTGTTCTTTTTAACATGAAGGTAATAGGCTTCTTCTTGTGCTGCAAATAAATAATAAATAACCGGTAATCGTTGGCGGTTGTATAAGTGGTGCTCATCCTGACCACCCCAACCCCCTAGTATATTATGATAATGACAGCTCGAAATGGGCAAGTACTTTTTGTTATTTGCACATTCATTTGGATGTTTTGCCATAGAGGAGCACCCACCCGGCAACCCCCAGTTCTCTGTTCCATTCACGACGACTCTGTATTGTTGGCTGGCTGGCTGGCAGCTTTTCTAGATAATACACACATCGAAAGTGGGTCAATAAACTGTGCTGCGTGAACAGCACGTGAACTTGACTCGTGACGTCACACATACATTCATGTCTAGGTTTGGCATAGCGCACTCTTTACCTGCGTTTACCCTGCCGGCACCCCCTCTCTCTACCCCATCCTACTGCCCCTCATCCTCCGTCACCTTACACAACACAACACAGCACAGCAATAGCAACAAGAGGCAGCGGTAGTAGGCAGTCTACAAAAGTTGTTCAGGTCAAATGTTTATGCCTGGGCGAGGCACTAGCAACCGTATCCGTAATTGTACTCTTACTCGTACTCATATTCATACCCAGTGTTTGGCACTGATTTTTGAGGTTCCTCTCAGTTTATTCTTAACTTGGCAAAGCTTCTCTTTAAGTTTTGGGAGTTCCTTTTGATTTGAACACTAGGTGGAGTTTATGCAATGAAGTCTTTCTGCGATGTTTATACATGCACTTTGTAGCATCATTTCTTGACATGATTGCATGAATCTTTTCATCGCATAAACGCAGTTTTATGTACATACATATGTCTATCGCTTGAACTTGAACCGCTATCGCCGCATCCCATCCTCAAGACCGCCGTGTTCACCCTTCTTTCCCTTTCTCATGATATTAAAATTGCTTTTAGCCTTATCGTTGCTGCTGTTGTTGTTGTTGTTGTTGTCGCCGCCGACGTCGTCTTCGTCGTCTCTTGATTTGTTTTTATGAATTTTAATGATTTTTATTTTGTTTTGATTACTATTTCTTTCTGCCACGGCATTTTCTTGCCCTGTTTTGTCTTTTGTTTTATTTTTCGCATCGCCGGCAAACGTCTGGCTTCCCCTTAACCAACCGTTCTCTCTGCCTTCCTTCTCCAGTTTGTAGGATGCACGTGTCATCAGCATTTTGTGGATTGATTATATGGGGTTTCCTTATCTGGAAAGATGAAAATCTAGCAAAGAAGGGTGTATAAACTATGGCATCCCAAAGTTAGTTTCCTTTCTTCTTTTATATTGCAAAGAAATAGTGTTATCTATTTATTACAATAATTTCTATTGAACTCAAAAAGTAGCGAAGCTAAAGGAACAGAGACATTTTTTGTCTAGGAAGTCGTCATAAGCTAAGGTGTTAATTAAACATAAGGGAAGAAAGGTACTGGCTAGTGATAGTATATAAATCTCAACTGTCTGTGCCAGTATGATGTGCCTGGGGATGTGTTTGCGTTTGTATTTTTTGTACCCCATTTATTCATTCAGCATGTCCGCGGCCGCCGTGGCCTCCGCCTCCTCCTTCTTTTGCTCCGTCTCGGCAATCCTCCGGTGCCCCATACCATTTCTTTATTTTGTATTTTGGTTTTTTTCCCCCTCATTCCCTTTATATTTGATACATACATATATATATATGCACCAGCACACTCATGCGATACACTCAAGATCACACACAAAGCGTCTGTTACCATATATATATATAAATATATATGTACGTATATATATTTGGGTCAATGCCAAGGTCATTGTTGTTCTTGTTCCTTGCCTTTTTTTTCTCCATCTCCTTCATGTCGCCGTAGTTGTTGTTTAGCGGGTTGTTTACATTTTATGGTTATATATTCTCCTTACAAATCATTTTGGTTTGTTTTTTCAATCCGCCCAACTTCAGGTTTGCTTCTCATGGTGGTTTCCAATGAAGTTTAAAGGATAATTGATCTGAAATTATCAGATATACATATATCCCTTCTTTTAAACATTGCCCTTCATAAACAATAGCTTCATATAAGAATTTAAAGTTGGTTATTTATTTTCAAAATTGATAGACACTAGCAACCGTCCAAGGTATTTAGTTCTTTCGAAACATGGCAAATCAGGATCATCAGTGTCCAAGGATAACAACCTAAAACTATCCTTACTTAAAGTGAATAACCCACTCAATTCCAATAGAAACCTGAATTGATTTCAATGGAAACCCCGTTGCCTCATGGAAACTAACCAACCGTTTTGAATTTATAATTGGGTGTTGCAAGGTTAAATCCCGCTGCTTGCCACTGGAAATAAAAGGCCAGCCAGCCGAAAAACGAACAGCGAACAGCCAACAGTAATCATCAGCAGAAGAAGAAGCAGAAGCAACAACAGCGGCTGCCAACACTCATTTTAAGCCATCCTCCTAGTGGGGGAGTCCCCGTCTGTGTTTAAACTGGTCGATTTCATATTGCATTTCGTATAAGCCGCTTTAAATTCAAAGTGTGCGCAGCAGAGCAAAAGCCAAATGGTTGAAATTATTTGCACAATACCGTCCTTCCATACATATGTATATAGATACATACATATATATATATATGCGATTTTACATAAATACATATATATTGGTTATGATTTCAGCTTCCAGTGACATTTTTATTGATTTTCAAGAGCCAACACACAATGATGATTGACCATTCATCGTGGTGTCCCACTTCAGAAACTTATTTCAAGATTATTCTGCATCATATTCTCTTTGGGCAATTGCCATGACTATACATATCTCTGCTGCATGCCGCCTATATCAGCATCAACTGCTGCTGCCGCTGCTGCTGCTGCATTCATTTAATGCCTTCGCCCGCAGTTGGGGTTTTTGGGCCAGAATTCGTATGGTATCGTATCTGACTGCGAACCCAAAAGCCCCCAAGTGCCACATGGCCCGGACTGTCTGTTCTGTCTGCCAGTTTGCCTGGTTGCCTGTGTTTGCCTCTCTGTGCCTGCCAACAACTGCCTGCCAATGAACAATTTTGCCGGTTTTTCATTTTTTTTTTCTTTTACTCTGTCCGCTGTTACTGGGATTTTAGTGCTCCACTCTGCCGCTCCACTCATTGCTCGACGACTCTGCAGCACCGCCGGGCTCTGGCTCTGGCTCTGGTTCTGTTATTGTTGTTGTTCTTGGCAGCGGCAGCGGCGGCATCATCATCGTTTTTCATTTTAACAGGCGCAGCCAGGAAAAAAGGCACAAAAATAAAAGTATAAATAAAAAGAACGAACGTTCATTTCAGTCGCTGGCTGATGGCTGCACCGAGAGAAATATATCATTTTGGTAGAAAATATTGGAACTTTAAAAAAATTTATTATATAAATAGGATTAAACCTGGCCTTAAAATATTTACTAACGTATTTTCTAGCCATGAAGCCAGAGGTTATATGGAATTCTTTTTACAACTTTAAATTGGAAGGTAAAACTGTAACTCGGGTTTATAAACATTTAGCCTAACTTGGTGCAGACAAAAGTACCTAAAATTCTCATGTATGAATTCGGGGGAGAATGTAACACTTGGTAAAATCAGTACTTTGAGGTTTCTTGGTTGCTTCGTTACTGAAAAGATATTTCTGTGATTGATATCGAGATAGCTAGAATCTCAGATATTACCAAATACGGATACTGTTACCAAATACAGATTCTAGCCAAAAACCTCAGATACTCCTTTGATTTTCAATCTCCAGTTAGACTCCATTCCTTAAAAATATATGAATAAGGAGTTATATTTATAAGCGCCTAGATAATTTTTTGAAAATTATGTAAAAATACGCAAGCATGGTTATTTAAAAACATAATTCTTCTGTTAGTTTCTGTGTACTAGCTTCGTTTTGAATGCATACATATTTATATATATATATCTTCAGATATATATATATACATATATATAGAGAGAGAAGTGTGTTTGTGTTCGCTTGTTTTTCAGTTCACTCGTTTGGATACACACCACGAACGAAACGAAACGAAACGCTGCGAACGAGTCGGGGTCGGATTTGGATCGGTCCGGACAGCGCCAGAGCTCTGGGCTTTGCCTTTTGCTTTTGCTTTGCTGCTCCTGCTCTGGCTCTGACTATAGCTATGGCTCTGGCTCTGGCTCTGGCTCTTGCCGGTTCTGGCTCTGACGCTAACGCTGACTGTGACTCTGACTCTGACTCTGACTCTGGCTCTGGCTCGACTCCCTGGTTGTGGAGCCCAGTGTGCGATTCATGGGACATATTTGTCTGAGCTCTCAGAGTGGTTGACTGCCTGCTTCGTTCGCTTTTACTGCTGGCTGGCTGGCTGGCGGCCTGGCTGCCTCTCCGCCGCTCAGTCAGTTCGCCAGTAAGTGTTTCTGGGGGAGAGGGCGAGCGTTGCTGGCGGGGATTGGAGGAGACTGCTCTGCTGGCACAGCGAACGAATGAATGTACATGCGAAGCGAACGAACCAAACCCAACCGAACCGAGCAGATTCAAAGCGACTTCTGCTGTTGTTCGCAGTAAAATGAATATACGAGTAGAATGTCTGTCTCTATATACAGTCGAACTTCTATAACTCGAACGATCCATAAAAATCAATATTTAATTATTGATTAACAAACTATATAATGTGTTTTAGACATAAAAGCGATGGGAAAATGTTTTAGATTAACTTGTCTTAAGGGTTTCTCTTTAAAATTAAGTTGAAATTTATTATATAAAGCAAAGTTTATAATATCTTGTTTTGAACTATTTCCATGAGATTATAACAAAATTATCTCCATTTTCTTAAGGATCCCATTGTAAATGGTAGATCGATCAACTCAGATGTCGTACTGTATATTCATTTACGACCTGTATGTCTGCCTGAGTTGCTGCACACAACCTTACAAACTTTCGATTCGCTCATAAAATTTCCAAGCAAGCACAAACAGAAATTGCATGAGCATACGGTCTACTCGAATTCAGATTCAGACTCGGGATTCAGACTCAGATTGGGGAGTTGTGGTCGTCGGAGTCCCACACTTTGAGGATGTCTAATGAGCGACAGTGTGACTGACTGCCTGTCGCTCAGCTGGTCTCAGTTCTTTCTCTATTTTGCAGTTGCCTGCTCTGGCTCCTAGGGCTAAACCCCTTTTTCGATCCGCAAACAAACAAAAAAAAGAAGCACTGCACTTGCGGGGGTGGAGAGTTGGCTAGCTAGAGAATGCTACGGGATGTGGTAAAATAATTTTTGCCCACTTCCCATTCTCAGTGCATGCAACACACTGGTTGGTTTCTATACCCTTGCACTGGGTGCTGGCAATTTTGCAGACTAGACCCAGTTATGATAAAATGATTATTTAGTATGAATTATATCTATAAGATAGGTTGTAAATGAGAATAGCAATGTATCTTGTAGATACATTTTCGTATTTCTAAACAAATCAAGCAGTTTTTTGTTAAATTCCTATATGAACAACAAAAATCAACCTTAAAGGATAATTTTGTCTTTGTAAACTTTATCTTTCGATGCTTTTGGCCCTGATAATCTGCTAGGTTTCTTTCCCAGATCTTGACAAGCTGAAAGACTTATAATGATGGTTCTTTTACCAAGGGTATTTAAAGCTGCGATTCGAATGTATATTAGCCTCTTCCCTTGTTTTCATTTTTATGATATCCCCAAGTTTATTACTTTTTCTCTTTCGCTGACTGGCTGGCTAGCTGGCTGTGTTTATAATTTCCCTGGCCCCGTCTGTGCTGGTCTCCTCCACCGTATGTGTGCCGCTCCTTTGTGCCTTTAATTCGCTTATTTTTTTATCTCTTGGTCCCGCCGCATAACAAGCACATGTAGTATGCCGCAGACCTTGTTTTTTTTTTTGCCCGCTTGCCACATTCATCGCTAAAGGTTTTAAGGTGATAAGCCACAAAGGTCCCCAGTACCCAGTACCTGTACCATGGCAGCAGCTGACAGCCAGACATAAACATACCTGGCCACAAGCAAGCACACCTATTCCATATCATACATATTCTTCTTATTTAAATGAATGTGTCCACATATATGACACGGCAGAAAGCCACAGCAAAGGTGAAGTGCTATGCTTCGTCTTCGAGAGCCAAAAGTCGAACTTGTGGCCAAAATGGTGCTGCATCATTGTGGCATCTTGAAGGCAGGCGAGAGTTTATGATGATGGGATCCTCAAGTGGGCTCCAAGGGCAATCTTGCAAAAGATCACGATCCCAAATACGATCGAACTCAGTTTTGGCGCGCAAATCTTGACTGATTTCTATTTTGTATCTGTTGGATTGCGCAGGAGTTTGTTGTTGTTCTTGTTTGTTTTTTTATTTTGATTTATATATCTTTGTGTTGCTCAAGCCTCGAGTGCGCGAATTCAGTTTTTTCTTTTTGTTTTGTGTGTTTGCCTCGCATTATTTTCGTTATAAATGATTTCATTGTTGTTGTTCCCGCTCTGTGCTCGGCGCTTGTTTTTCTTTTCCAAGTAATTTTTCTACGCGACCACAAAAGAGAGCGCCAAATACAAACGTGGGCCGACCTGCACCCCCTTTGACGCCGCCCCGGTCCGCCGCCGCACAAAGCATTCTATCCGGCCTGGCCTTTAGCAGCTCCCCTCCGCTGCTCCCGCCTTTGCCTTTTGCCGTTGCTGCTGCTTTTGCCAGCTTGCTTGCTATTCTCGTCATCGTCTCGCAACTCAAGTGTACGCCGCTGCCACCGCCCTTGGCCCCCCCCCCCCCCAGAACCCCCTCTCGCAAAAAGCGACTCTACGTCCGTCGTTCGGTGTACGAATGCGAAATGCGAAATACACAGATACGAGAATTACGAATACGAATACGTTCGAATTTTATTATATTCCAACATTTAGAGTGCTCGTGTATGTGTGTGTGTGTGTATCTGTATCCGTACCTCTGTGTGTGCATGTTTCTGTTCCTTATCTACGTCTTTGTCATCGTTGCCGTTGCCTTTCGTTCGCTTCGAGCGCGCCATAACTACCACAGCCACTTGCCCGGTCCCCGGGTAGCCACAGCCATCGACATCGCCATAGCCAAAGACCCTTCGTAACCCCCCCCCCCCTGGGAACGCTTCAAGTTGCAGCCGTCCGACGCCGTTGTCGCTCTTTGCTCTTCGTTCGTCGTTCCTCGTTCGTCGTTCGTTCGCTGGTTGGTTTTCGTTGCTTGCTTGCTTGCTTGGTTTGTTGGTTCGTTCCACATAGCTTTTATGCCCCACTCCGCACCATGCCGCCCCGCACCCATATCATCCCATCCCATGCTTTGCCATCCCATGCCATGCCGCCGCCTTGTGCCGTCAGTTCGTCGTCGTACATTTCATTTCACTTCACTTAATTTCTCAGATACCAAAACGAACAGCGTTCGCTCGTCGTTCGTTCGTTCGTTCGTACGTTGTGTTTTTTCTTGCCGCTGCCTCTGTGGCTGTGCAGTGGCTTAGTCAGCCTCTAATTAAAAGGGGAAAGAGACAATGGTGGGACTCTTATAACTGATTAGGCCCTTGCAAACTCTGATAATTAAATATATTTATGGGATTTTCATATTTATATTGTGAAAAATTAATTTTTTTATAAATAAATTAATAAGCATAATATAATAAGTACTAATTAAGTTCCCGGTAAACTTAAGAAATACTTATCACATGGAAAGCACTCAACGAACCCCCCTTTTGGGTACGCCCCCCACTAGCTGCTGAGCTCTCTCTCTCTTCTCCTTCTCCGCTGGGGTTTTTACCATGGCCCTCTGCCTGTGTGTGTGAGTGTTTCGAATTGCTGTCGACTTAAGCTTTATGTGCACGTCTGCTGCGAACACGAATACGAATACACTACCACCAGGGCGAGATAGTGTGTGCGACTGTATGAGTGTGCCTGTTTGTGTTGTTGAGCTTTTTCTTGATTTTCTTATAAGTTATAGGCGGCAAAAAAGTTAAAGTCGTGTCGCATCGCACCGAGTTTCTGGTGTTCTGCCTGCCTGCAGACTGTTTCAAGAGTTGTTATTGTTCCGAGCAGCTTGACTTGACTGGCTGGCTGGCGTTTATGAATTCCGAATTCCTCCCCCTCTGACCGGGTTATAATTGTGAGCTCTCGGGTAAGTGGCGGCGGCAGTGGGAGGAGCAGAAGGAATCCCGAAATTCCACCTCGGGCAATGTCAGGAAAAGGTCGAGGGGGGGAGAGCGGAGGCAGTTGTGTTGGCCTGGCCCGCTTTCCTCATCCCTCATGGCATGAGAGATTGGGACCCAAAAACATCTGATTGCCCTGAATGTGTGTTTACGCTGGATTACCAACTCAATCATATGCTCAACTCGCCCCTGTATGTGTGTGTGCAGTGGGTTAATTGCGGTTGCCGCTTGGTTAATTCATAGTTTTGCTATCACTTTCGTTTAAATAAACAAGTACAGCGTCCAACCTTCTACGGAATATGCCACCTGCCGGCCGGCATTTGCCGTCTTAGCCACCTTTTGCTTTCAACACTAACCTCTATTCTATTCCATCGCCATTTCAGGAGCTAATTGGACAGAATAGTAACGACAGCTCCAGTGGCGGGGCGCATAGTGGTATGGGCTCTGGTCCGCCCGGCACACCCAATCCCCAACAGGTGATGCGACCCACACCCTCGCCCACCGGTTCCTCCGGTTCACGTTCCATGTCCCCGGCAGTGGGTAAGTAGCAAACTCCTTAGCATCCGAAGTACATGCATTACAAAACCTCCGTTCTTGCACACAGCCCAAAACCATCCAATCTCGCGTCCGGCGAGCAACCAGTCAAGCAGCGGCGTACCCATGCAACAGCCACCAGTGGGAGCGATAGGTGGACCACCACCGATGCCCCCGCATCCCGGCATGCCAGGCGGCCCGCCCCAGCAGCAGCAGCAATCTCAGCAGCAACAACAACAGGCCTCGAATTCGGCTTCGTCGGCAAGCAATTCGCCGCAACAGACGCCGCCACCGGGACCGCCGCCGCCCAATCAACAGGGCATCAATAACATGGCAACGCCACCGCCACCGCCGCAGGGAGCGGCGGGAGGAGGCTACCCAATGCCGCCCCACATGCACGGCGGCTACAAGATGGGTGGACCGGGCCAGAGTCCTGGTGGTCAGAGCTATCCGCCGCAACAGCCACAGCAATATGCACCAGGTACGATTTTGGGTGTATTAAGAAAGTGTTTCCTGTTCACTTTCCTTAAACACAACTTGAAGTCATGGCTAACCGTTAAAATCTTTCTCAGGTAACTACCCGCCACGCCCACAATATCCGCCTGGCGCGTACGCCACAGGCCCACCACCACCTCCAACAAGCCAACAAGCAGGAGCCGGAGGAGCCAACAGCATGCCCTCGGGCGCACAGGCTGGTGGCTATCCTGGTCGGGGCATGCCCAACCACAGTGGCCAATATCCGCCGTATCAGTGGGTACCCCCCTCGCCGCAGCAAGGCGTGCCGGGCGGAGGTGCTCCAGGTGGTGGTGCAATGGTCGGAAATCATGTCCAGGGCAAGGGCACACCGCCACCGCCATCAGTTGTGGGTGGTCAGCCACCTCCGCCTCAAGGAAGCGGATCCCCGCGGCCTCTTACCTATCTGAAGCAGCATTTACAGCACAAGGGCGGCTACGGAGGAAGTCCAACACCGCCACAAGGCCCACAAGGCTACGGTAACGGGCCGACCGGTATGCATCCGGGCATGCCGATGGGTCCACCCCATCACATGGGACCGCCACACGGACCCACTAACATGGGTCCGCCCACTACCACGCCACCTCAGGCGCAGATTCTCCAGGGTGGCCAACCTCCGGGACAGGGACAAGCTCCTGGACCGGAAAGTGGCGGTGGTCCGGAGCATATTTCGCAGGATAACGGCATAAGTTCGTCGGGGCCGACGGGTGGTGCGGCGGGAATGCATGCTGTTACCGCAGTAGTCACCACTGGACCGGATGGTACGCCTATGGACGAAGTCAGTCAGCAGAGCACACTATCGAATGCTTCGGCGGGTAAGTACAGCATGTCCATTGCGCTTCGAACGAATCAGTTGACTAACTTGTTTACATCTCCGACAGCATCCGGCGAAGATCCACAATGCACCACACCAAAGTCGCGCAAAAATGATCCCTATGGCCAAAGTCATCTAGCTCCGCCTAGCACATCGCCGCATCCAGTTGTGATGCATCCAGGTGGCGGCGGTGGTCCTGGAGAGGAGTACGACATGAGTTCACCTCCCAATTGGCCGCGTCCGACTGGTAGCCCGGTAAGAATCTCCTGAATTTATTCATATATCACGAATTAACGTGCGTCCATTTCCACAGCAGGTGTTCAACCATGTACCCCAGGTGCCCCAAGAGCCCTTCCGTAGCACCATTACCACGACCAAGAAATCGGACTCGCTGTGCAAGCTATACGAGATGGATGATAATCCGGATAGGCGCGGATGGCTGGACAAGCTCCGGTCGTTCATGGAGGAGCGGCGAACACCGATTACCGCCTGCCCAACCATCTCAAAACAGCCACTCGATTTATATAGGTTATATATTTATGTAAAAGAACGTGGCGGATTCGTCGAGGTATGCAAGGTGCCGTAGTAACTCCTTTTACTAACTTCTTTTATAGATTTACCTACTACTAGCAACAAAACCAAACCAAATCAACCAAAAAACCAACCCAAAGAACACCATCACCACCAACGTAGTTAACACAAAACCAAAAACCAAATTCAAATGAAAGATATATATTCACATAAATAGACAGACACGAGTTCCATATATATATATATTGTATGTGATTCGGCCAAAGTAAAAATTGAACAGCAAACTAAAGTCAAGCCACCAACCATTTAGACCCTACAGCCTCCAGCCACTCCGATATCCATGTGTCTAAATTGTGTAGCTGCATCCAGGCAGTCTGCTTTCCGTAGGAAGAAGCAAAAAAGCAATCAATCCCTTATTGTTCAGCTTTGGTTTCCCCCTAGACAGCATGTTCTAAGCCGAATCCAACCAAGCACAACTCAATCTCTACCTATTTACTTACCTATTTTTTGTCAAAAAATATCTGTAGAAATATCTGTGTGCCGGCATGCTCTCAGATTCTCACTTATTTCATTTGTGATGCAATTTATGACTAGCATTTTCATCAATTTTATCGTTATGGTTTTGTAGAAACTTAATTTAATCAAGGCCTGATTCCCAGCTAATCGATAGCGTCAATTGGATGGCAGGAATGATCGATATATATTGATATTTAACGTAAAAGTCGATTTATACATTAAAACTGTTTTATTAATTTCTATATTTTAACGTTAAATTCAATATTTACAATTTCGATGTGTCAAATTCAAATTCTATAATGTTTCAATAGAATATTGAGCGCGATTTATAATATTGGAATTATCCTCTCGGTATATATCGCTACGTTAAATCGAAATTTTGTGCACAAATTGATTGCTCTGCCTGTTGTTTATTTGAGGATTTCCCTCCATTTGTTTATTGAATTTATTCTTATTCAATTTTTCGTTTACTATAAATAATTATAAATGCATTTTTAAAATATGTTTAATTTTGATGTTTAAAGACACATTGAGTATTTCGAAAAAGGTTACCAAATTATTGTGCTTATTTTTTTATTCGTGTTGATTTTTTTGGTTTTGCCCCCTAGTTATCCCCTAATCCTCCTGTCACCCTATTTCCCCTTAATTTTTCTATGTAGTTAGTATCATTTACCCTAGAACTTAAGAATCTAGACTGTTGGTTCTCCTTCCTAAATTGCTAAAACTGCATCCACACGAAATCTGTTTTTGTGCTCGCAAAAAACTTTTAATTCTCTATTTTCAACCGTCATGAACTTTTTAAATCGCATTGTGGCGACCCCGTTTATTAATATCCCTCCGATTCTCTTCCGTTCCGCCGCCAGGTGACCAAGAGCAAGACCTGGAAGGATATTGCTGGACTCTTGGGCATCGGTGCAAGCAGTAGTGCCGCTTATACGCTGCGGAAGCACTACACCAAAAACCTCCTGACCTTCGAGTGTCACTTTGATCGCGGCGATATTGATCCGTTGCCGATCATCCAGCAGGTGGAAGCTGGCAGCAAAAAGAAGACGGCCAAGGCAGCGTCAGTTCCATCGCCAGGTAAGTGTTTGCTTTGCAGAACATCTTTTAAGTACTTTCGATGCTTAATTTAAAATTCTTTTCGTTTTTTACTATGTTTGCCCTGGCCAAATCCGAAAACGATATTGAATTTAACTTGCGACCCAACGGTGGTGGTCATTTGGATGCTGGAACCACAAACTCCACAGGTTCGTCAAATTCACAGGACTCGTTCCCAGCACCTCCAGGCTCCGCTCCAAATGCCGCAATCGATGGTTATCCCGGCTATCCAGGCGGAAGTCCGTATCCGGGAGCTAGCGGGCCGCAGCCGGATTATGCCACATCGGGACAAATGCAGCGCCCACCCTCCCAGAATAACCCGCAGCAGACTCCTCATCCCGGTAAGCGAGAACTTTTCTCTATGGACAAACATTTTATGTATATTTCACCCAGAGTGTGTATGAGATCTGTTTAGTTTTATTGCAAACGGAATGCATTATAGTTCGCTTAGCTGCCCGATATAATTACTAAATTGATAATGTCTAGATATTTGAAGTATTATTAAAGTTTGAAGTAATATTGAATTGGTTTGTTTGAATTTGTTGCTTAATAAGTATTTTAGCTAGACTCAATCTTTCGTATATTTATTAGACTAATTATATTTCTGATAAACGAAAAACCCAGAAAATAAGATTTGTCGTGATTGTTAAGACTTGCACTACTTTATAAAAGAAGTTAAAGGGTAGCTAATCGAATTACACTGCAGTGCTGTGTAGAAAATTATCTCAGATCTTTTTGACCATGTTTTGTGTTCTTGGATTCATGTTTGTTTTTTTAAAAACTATTATCAAATTGTGTTATCTGATATATAGATGATATGCTTCCCTTTCGATCCTAACTCTTTTTGTACATATATTATATACCAACGTGTTTAATATATAAGTATACGATTTTACTACACTCTTTTGTTGATTGATTATCTATTATTATTCATTGTTGATGTGTGTGTTTATTTTGTTTATTCATTTTTATGTTTTGTAACCTTTGTGTGGGGCGCACTACTAAAATATATATAAATCTCCACAACCACCAACAAACCATCACCACAACGATGTTTCCATGTATCCATCTTCACCACCAACAACAATTAAAACAACAACAACCAACAACAAACAAATTCATTGTGTGATTGATTCATTGACTCATTCATTCATTTCGATTCATCCAAACCAAATCAAATCAAATCATCCAAAAAACCGCCGCTTACCGCCTCTCTCAGGCGCCGCTGCCGCTGTCGCAGCCGCTGTTGCCGCCGGCGATAATATAAGCGTAAGCAATCCCTTTGAGGATCCCGTTGCTGGCGGTGGTCAACCGGGCTCGGTAACTGGTCCCGGTTCTGGTCCTGGTCCCGGTGCTGGAACTGCTGCTGCTGTGGTCGGTGGTGGCCCCCAAATAATACCGCCACCACCACCCCATTCACCGCACACGGCAGGCCAACAACAACAACAACAGCAGCATCCCCATTCGCAGCACCTGGCGCCGCCGCCACCACAGCAGCAACAGCAACCACAGGGGCCGCAGCCACCGCCAGCACCACAGCAACATGGGCCTGGTCCGGTACCACCGTCCTCGCCGCAGCAGCAGCAGCAGCAGCAGCATGTGCGACCAAACGCCGCCGGAGCACCTTATCCGCCGGGTGGCTCTGGTTACCCAACGCCTGTTGTGTCTAGAACGCCAGGTATACTCATCTTTTATTTTGCTCCCTCCATCATCTCTTTCATTTTTCTAATTTCCTATTCTTTGTTCCGCCAGCGCCTTTAGTTTCTCCATCTGTTGCCTTTTTCTAGGATTAACGTTTGTGCTACTTAGTTTTAGTATTATTAAAATATGAATTGCATGAATAGTAAAAAACTGCATCACTAAAAGCTACAACTTCTAATTAGTAACTAACTACTCTACTAACAAACAAACTCTACTAACTTATTTTATTGCACTGTAAATTAGATCATTATTGGTCTGCTTTTTCATTTTCCAAATGTTTAAATTAATTTTATACAACTTTCACATATTATTTACTTATTTTAAAGAACCTATTTGAATTTTGTGTTAAATCAATCAAAGATATCTATAATTTTCGGCTTTAAATTTGTTTAGTTTTATATTAATTAGAAAATTTACGTGTACGCCTCATATGGCTATCCTCCGTATGCGTTTTAATAGAAATATTCGAATTACAGTGCAATTTTCAGATTTCTAGACAAAGTTTAATAATGATTTTTGACCATTCCTATTTGCAGGCTCACCCTATCCATCACAGCCGGGAGCTTACGGCCAGTACGGCTCGAGCGATCAGTACAATGCCAGTGGGCCGCCAGGACAGCCATTTGGACAGGGTCCAGGACAATATCCGCCGCCGCAGAACCGCAGCATGTACCCTCCCTATGGGCCGGAGGGGGAAGCGTGAGTGCATCCCAATTTACCCCACACAAGACACCACCACACCACACACCAGACCTCTCACATCCTCTGTACTGTAACTGCCCGAAATAGAATCACTGGACTGAGCTCGTCGCAAGCTGTGCTTCTTAAAGAATCGAGAAAGCCTTCGCTAATTCAAAATTCTTTTATATCTTTCACACAGTCCTCCAACTGGTGCCAATCAGTACGGTCCTTATGGTAATCGACCCTACAGTCAGCCTCCGCCGGGAGCACCTCAGCCACCGGCGCAAACGGTGGCGGGTGGTCCGCCCACGAGCGGAGCTCCAGGAGCGCCACCCAGCAGCGCCTATCCAACGGGCAGGCCGGCTCAGCAGGACTATTACCAACCGCCACCAGATCAAGTAAGTTAAGGAGAGGGAAAGTCTACTCGTAGCAAATCCAAAATAAAATGATCGAAAAGTATTCGCGCATGTTCTGAGTGGATATATCTAACAGAAACTTCAATTTTTAACGACTTTTCAGAGTCCACAGCCACGACGGCATCCCGATTTCATCAAAGACTCGCCGCAGCCTTATCCAGGCTACAATGCTAGGCCTCAGATTTATGGTAAGTACTTCGAAACCAGAAAGTAAACGGCTCTCTAATCCATCAACCCTTTCATTAGGTGCTTGGCAAGGCGGTAACCAGCAGTATCGGCCTCAATACCCGACCTCACCTGCACCTCCACAGAGCTGGGGAAATGCTCCTCCGCGCGGAGCAGCTCCTCCGCCGGGTGCACCTCATGGCCCTCCCCTTCAGCCACCGGCGGGTGTGGCGCAATGGGATCAGCATCGTTATCCACCACAGCAGGGTCCGCCGCCACCACCGCAGCAACAGCAACAACAGCAGCAGCAACAACAACAACAGCAGCAGCAACAGCCGCCTTACCAGCAGGTGGCTGGTCCTCCTGGACAACCCCAGCCACAGGCGCCACCACAGTGGGCACAGATGAATGCAGGACAGGCTCCGCAACCTGGTATTGCTCCACCCGGCTCTCCACTGCGCCCGCCCTCCGGTCCCGGACAGCCGCAACAACGAATGCCCGGAATGCCTCCACAACAGCAGCAAGCACAGCAACAGCAGCAGCCTCCGGTCGGTGGGGCTCAACAGCCACCGCCACCACAGCAGGCAAGCCACGTCGGGGTTCCATCGCCAGGCATGCCCCAAGTGGGTCCCGGTGGAATGGTGAAGCAACCTTATGCCATGCCACCACCGCCATCCCAGGTGGTAGGCGGTCAGCAAGTGGGCCAGCAGGTTCCACCCAGCGGAATGATGGTGCCCCAGAAGCAGCCCCCGATGATGCCAGGCCAGGGAATGCAGCAGCAGCCGTTGCAGCAACACCCCCAGCAGCCGCCGCATCAACACCACCAGCATCCTCATCAGCACCCACATCCGCATCCTCATCAGCACCCGCAGCATCCGCACCAGATGCCGCCCAATCAGCAGGCACCCGGCGGAGGCTACGGCCCGCAGGGACCACCCGGCAGTGGAGCCGCCCAGTTGGTAAAGAAGGAACTGATCTTTCCGCACGACAGCGTCGAGTCCACCACGCCAGTGCTGTATCGAAGAAAGCGACTAACGAAGGCGGACGTGTGCCCGGTGGATCCGTGGCGGATATTCATGGCCATGCGATCCGGTCTGCTTACAGAGTGCACCTGGGCCCTGGATGTGCTCAATGTCCTCCTGTTCGACGACTCGACGGTGCAGTTCTTTGGCATCTCGAACCTTCCCGGTCTGCTGACTCTGCTGCTGGAGCATTTCCAGAAGAATCTCGCCGAAATGTTCGACGAACGGGATTGCGATGAGTTGCCATCTTCCTCGCAGCTTGGCGAGGATGCGGCGGCGGATGACGACGCGGACAGCGGCACCGTGATGTGCGATAAACAGCGACGAACCAGCGGACACCGACAGTCACGATGTGTGCGGAGCATCAGCAGCTACAATCGACGCCGTCACTATGAGAACATGGATCGAGGTGGCAAAGGTAGCGACTCGGAAGAGGATGCCGACGAGGGCATCGATCTGGGCCAAGTACGTGTGCAGCCCAATCCGGAGGAGCGTTCACTGCTGCTCTCGTTCACACCCAACTACACGATGGTCACGCGAAAGGGTGTGCCTGTACGGATCCAAACGGCCGACCACGACATCTTCGTGGACGAGCGCCAGAAGGCGTGGGACATTGACACCAATCGCCTGTACGAACAGCTAGAGCCCGTGGGCAGCGATGCATGGACCTACGGATTCACTGAACCGGACCCCCTCGACGGCATTATCGATGTCTTTAAGTCGGAGATTGTAAACATTCCATTTGCACGCTACGTCCGCTCTGAAAAGAAATCATCGGCGAAATCGTTGGCCAAGAAGACGGAGATCAAGCAGGAGCCTATTAGCGCCGAGGAACAACAGCAGCCGCAGTCGACGTTAAACAAGAAGAGGCGGCTGGTGAGTGGCGACAACAGCAATAGCAGCAGCTGCGGAGCTACCGCTGAGAGCAAGAAATCCAAGCTATCGGGCGAGGATGAGTTCGCGCAACCCTCCAGCGCTGAGGTGAAGAAGGAACCGGGCAACGACAGTGACTGTCGGGCCATCGACATGGAAATCGAATCACCGCAGCACCAACAGCAAGCGCAACGTTTAACCAACGGCGTTGCATCCTCGTCCACCTCCTCCTCTTCCACCTCACCACCGGGCGTCGGTTTCGATCCCCGAAAGACTGTTAAGGACGCCGCCCAAGTGCTGCAGAGGAGACGTGACTCCACCTACGAGGACGAGTGCTATACACGCGACGAGGCGTCGCTGCATTTGGTCAACGAGAGCCAGGATTCCCTTGCGCGCCGTTGCATTGCCCTATCTAACATCTTCCGCAATCTGACATTCGTGCCCGGCAACGAAACGGTGCTGGCCAAGTCCACTCGCTTCTTGGCAGTGCTGGGGCGACTGCTACTCCTCAACCATGACCACTTGCGGCGCACACCCAAAACAAGGAACTACGACCGCGAAGAGGATACGGACTTCAGCGACTCATGCAGCTCGTTGCAAGGAGAGCGTGAGTGGTGGTGGGACTATCTGATCACCATCAGGGAAAATATGCTGGTGGCCATGGCTAACATAGCCGGACACTTGGAGCTGTCGCGCTACGATGAGCTCATTGCCCGCCCCCTGATCGATGGCCTGCTGCACTGGGCCGTGTGTCCCAGTGCCCACGGCCAGGATCCGTTCCCGTCGTGCGGCCCCAACACGGCTCTCTCGCCGCAGCGCCTGGCGCTGGAGGCTCTCTGCAAGCTGTGCGTGACGGATGCCAATGTGGACCTGGTTATTGCCACGCCACCGTTCTCGCGTCTGGAGAAGCTATGCGCCGTGCTCACGCGGCATTTGTGCCGCAACGAAGATCAGGTGTTGCGCGAGTTCTCCGTTAATCTGCTGCACTACCTGGCTGCCGCCGACAGTGCCATGGCGCGCACTGTGGCGCTCCAGTCGCCGTGCATCTCCTATCTAGTGGCCTTCATCGAGCAGGCCGAACAGACGGCACTTGGCGTCGCCAATCAGCACGGCATCAACTATCTGCGTGAGAATCCCGACTCGATGGGCACCAGCCTGGACATGCTGCGGCGGGCAGCCGGAACACTGCTCCATTTGGCCAAGCATCCAGACAACCGTTCGCTGTTTATGCAGCAAGAGCAGAGGCTACTCGGCCTGGTCATGTCGCACATCCTCGACCAACAGGTGGCGCTGATCATATCCCGGGTGCTGTACCAAGTGTCTCGCGGCACTGGGCCCATTCACTCGGTCGAGTTTCGGCTGCTTCAGCAGCGCCAGCAACAGCATCACCTGCAACAGCGACTGCAGCCTAGCGGAGCCGAGAAGACAGCGGCCGCTGCCGCTAGTGCGGCTGTGAAATCGGAACCAGAAGCTCCGATTGCGGAAGCGAGTTCCTCGGAAGCGGCGACTACTACGAAGCCTGTTTCTTCAGCACCTCCAACATCAGCCACAACGGCCGTGGTGAACGACGAGAACAGCAACAGCAGCCAACAGCTGCCGCCGGCAGCCACCTTCAACGATGTGAGCAACAGCAGCACCAACAGCAACAGCTGCGGCACAGTCAGCAGCAATCAGACGAACAACAGCACCACTAACAGCAGCAGCCACAGTCACAGTCACAGCCACAGCAGTGCGACCAGCAGCCAATCGGCCGTCGCAGGAGCAGCAGCTTCATCCGTATTGGCCAGTGATCAGCAGCAGGTGAGCAATAAGGTGGCCGCCGTGGCCGCTGCGGCTCTCAGCAACGCTAGTGCAGCGGCAGCAGCAGCAGCTGCTGCAGCGGCGGCGGCAGCGGCTTCTTCGGTTGCCCCGCCACCACCATCACCGGCGAACACCGCTGCTGCAGCGGTGGCCCAGCCAGCGGCACCGCCACCAACTAATGCAGGAACAACGACCGCCGTTGCGTAGTATACGACAATGATGCCAGCGTCCTACTACTGGCCACGAACCCCCCGAGGGGCAGTCGACTGATCTGGAGCTGTAGCTGCAGCTGAAGTTGGATCTGAAGCTGGAGATGGAGAATCCTGGGAGCTTCGAGGTAGCCTCGAGGTAGCCTCGAGTCGATGTAATCAACGCTTGTAAATTTACTTAACTGGCACCACATGGAGAGGAGAGTCATAAAGGAGGAGAAGAAAGTGGTATCCAGGCTTCAAGGATAGCGAAAGCGACTGTTGGGATGGGATGCAAGACGTCTATACAATAACAACTGTATATTTTTTCACACTCAAATCTAAAAATAGTAAATACGAGGAACTAAACTAAACCCTAAACTAAACTAAACTAAGCATTAAGCAATTGCATCAGCGAGCAACCACAAACATACGATAAAACTGAAGGGAGGAAGCTAGCTGTTCGGAAACGGAAAAAAAACTGACCGAACGATCGATCGGATCGGATCGGATCGGTTATTATTGATTATATATATTATCGAGACACGGAACATGCATAACGAAGAAGAAGGGATAAGCGAAATTCAAGCACACAGCATACTTATTGTATTAAATTTAACAACTAATTGATGATGGAGAAAGATGGAGAACAAAGAGGAGGAGGAATAAGTAACTAAAACATACATACATATATGCATAACGCACGCTATGGTTTATCGTATATTACAAATATATATATATATAGGAAATAAATGCATAAATTAACATTAACATTACATGAGATGCAACAATTGTGTATGATGAATAGTTTTTAAAAGAATTCTACCACTTACTAATTAATACCCTATATATTACAACAACAACAATGTGCGCAGCAGACAAAACTCAAACAGCAAGCAAAGGCAAACACAAGTAAATCCCCAATTCGATCTACCTATATATACTGATTGTAATTGCAATTAAATGCGCAGATTTTACGCAGCAAGAGAGGAGTAATAATGATGAGGATGTTAATGTCGATGAATGGAACATTAAAACAATATTGTACATACTTAACTATTATGTAAATTTCCACTGTATTTTTTTTTCGTTTATACGCAATGTTACAAGGCACACACATGTAAGTGGCAGCACTGCATTTCGTATTTCGAATTTTGTATTTCATGTATGTCGTTTTGGGTTGGTTTTCGAAAATTTGTCTTCGATTTCGAGACGAATTTTTGAACAAAATCAATGCAACACACAGACAAAAGAAAAGAAAACAATTAACAAATAAAATCAAATTAGGTGATATAAATATATAAATATACATAGCGCATATATATACATACATAATGCATATATATATATATATATATATATAAAACAAGATTGGAAAACGAAAAACTGGAACAACAAACACCCTGTAATTGCTGTAATTTTTTATGTTAATTGTATTATTTGCTGGAAGTGCTGCTGCTTCACTTTATTTTTTATATATATATCGAACTTACTTAAGGCGTAAATGACAAGATAAATAATTAGGTTTTTATCGTAATCTTAATTTAAAATATATTAAATAAATAAAACAAAAAACCAATAAGCAAAACGAAATCCAAACAAACAAAAAACACAAAGCGAAGCGAAGCAAATCGAACTAAAAGCTGTAGAGAAGCACGCAAACCGACTATATTACCACACACACTACACTCCTCTCCACCCCACACACCCCCCAACCAACCAGCTTGGTGTTAGGAATTCGAATTCGAAACATCGCATCGGGTGCACTGTGCACACCAATTTGTATACTAAACTTTCTCACATACATAATTATAATGTCGTGCTACATACGAGAGAGAGACAGAGATCGAACTCCCGATCCTGGCTTCTAGTTCTCCCGGCAATCATCCTGGATATATCGGGCTGGTTCGCCTGGGCAGATCCGGAGGAACGAACAGAGATTGAGAGAGAGATGAGATAATAGAAAAGTGCTGCTGTTGATACGTGTGTATTCGTGTAGTTGTTTGCAAACAAAAAATATTATAACTCAGCATCTCGATATCGGATATATATAACGTGTAGTTACTAGTGTATAATTTTGCTAGGATGTAAATGTATGTCCCTCAAAACTTAATTTAATTATTTAATTAATATACATACATATATGATATAAAAAGCATTTGTTTTAATTTTTGAGTGATCCCCGAATCTTTGGGGATTGAGATCAAGCTTCGAATCGCGAAGTCACTACAATAAAAAAAAATTACTGAAAACTACTGATGGGAGAGTTATAGGGACTGATTGGATTCTATGGATCGAAAATGTTAAAGCCCCGTAAAAAGATAAATGTCGAATTTTCATTTCGAATCGACAGAATTCGATTTGAATGGAAACTGGGGAAACGGGGGTTATCATGGCATAAGTGGAACTCCACCTCGTGTCCAAAGTAGAAATTGGCGTCTAAATGAGAAGCTTTATATTAGCTTATTCTTTAGCAAGCCTTGAGAAAAATGAACTAAGTTGTGCTGTGAAGGTAAAACCCGGCCAAAATCAATTATTTTTTTTACAAAATATTAATTTTATTTATTGAATTATATTTTCTAAAATTTTCAATTTAATTTCCGTTAAAATTATGTTGAAAATAGGGTAAATAATTTTAAAATCTCGGTTGATATTTATTTATTTACCAGTTTATTATTAGTTTTTTATTATTTTCAAGGTTATTAGTTAGTTTATTATTTAATGTTTTTGATTTTAATCGATTATATTGCCAGTTTTAGCTTTTATGCGATTTTTAAAAATAACGAATTCCTGTCTCGACCGTTTTAGTGTGTCCAGCTCTTAAGAAGAAGGAAAAAGTGATTTTCCTAAATGTTTTTTAGAATTTTGAACAGAAAAGCCTGAGGTCACATTGATGATAGGAAATAAGCAGTGTTGCCAACTTTTCAGGGCATAAAAAAGCTAGCACAACCGTTAAAACAAGCTAAAAACAAAGTCAGAACATTTTTATATTAGCTAAAAATAAACGTAAAATTTTGTAACGATCATTTTATTTATTAAGACTGTTTATTATTATTGGTCAAATATATAAAAGAAATTGTCAAGTTATTTAATTATCTTCTCTGGTGGATCGCCTATCATAAGTACCTCATCTAGCAGGCCTATAAAGCTTGGACCCAAAACATTTTCATTGCGCTCGAGGACTTTAATCTGTGTAGTTTTATAGCACTGGCATCATAAAAATTGTTCCCGAACAACAATTCAAAATGGTCAATTGGGCTGATGGATGAATGGGTGGCAATATATAAGCAGAATGCCGGCTTGTGTTGGCAGGTTTTTACCGAGACAGGTTTTACAAAAGTTTTTTATCAATCTGGGAAAATATAGATGAGAACGATTTGTGCTTGGCATCTGTATGCGTTAGATGTTTTTAAAAAGTTAAATTAAGATCAATTTTGATATAAAAAGAGCTATATTTCCCGCAGGCCGTTAGTTTACCATTTATCCCGCAATTTGGGTTTGAAATCCGCCAGATCTAGCCGGCAAAAAGCTAAATTGGCAACGCTGGTAATAGAGTGCATGTTGAGCCGGCAATAATTTTAATTTAATAAAATGGACCTACACACGCTGCTGCAACGTGCCCAGAACCTGACGAATGAGGCCAAAGCGGATTGCGAACTGCCTCCGGTGGAGAGGACGCTCCAGCAGGTCCTGCAGGCCACCAACGAGCTGCATGCGCGCGTCACACAAACAGGCGGGAAGGAGATTCAGGCGTAAGTAAACAAACGGGACTGGTGTGCCAATATCTGGGTAATCCCGCCATGTTTCTGTAACAGGCACATCTTGCTGGGCTCCAAGGGCGTGGACCTGCCCAAGCTTAACCAGAAGCTGGAGGCACTGAGTGCACGCAAAACCTTCGAACCCCTGGACGTGGTGAAGGCCGACACAGATGTGTGCACCTTTCTCAAGACCGAGCGCGAGAATGCCATTCTCTCGGTTATCGAGGACACTAACAAGAATGTGAGTGAGCATTTGCAGTAGTTTTCCTGAATTGACACATTTGTCCGCCACCTCCGCAGATCAGCGACTCGGTGAGCAAGCAGAAGTGGGCCACCATGAACAGCGTGTGGAACGAGGAGAAGACCCGGTTGCTGGACGCCCTGGTGGCTCCCTCCCAGAACTTTATCGACCTTCAGCGCCTGCCCGAGCCCACCATTTTGAATCAACACTGCCAGCCGCGTTCCTACCTCGACGGCATGGAACTTTTGTACGCCCAGGAGATTCGTCAGTACAATGAGCTGCTGCTGAAAGGCAGCAACCGTCCAAACCTCGTGCAGAAGTTCGCCCAACTTTCCAGCAGTTTTCGGGATCCGCAGCTCACGGACATGTGGACCCTTTTGGCCTGTGTCACCCAAGTGACCGAACCGCTAAATTGCGATCCGGTCAAAACCCGTCAACAGCGACCAGAGTTCGTGGCCCATGCAAAGTCCTACTTGGAGCGGCGTTACAAGCTATACATGTCGTCGCAGGCAGGTGGCTGTTCTTCCAGCTCACAGCTAGTACTGGCCTACGTGTGCCACCGGTTCAGTCCCCAGCAGACCATTGGCCTCGTGGATACGGTGGGCGGCAAGCCCCTGTGGCCGCTTGTCTACTACGGTCTGCGCTGTGGATCCACCGCGACGGCGGTCACTTTCCTGCGGGAGGCGGGAGCCAGTCACGACGACTTTGCGCAACTGATTGAGGACAGGAATGCGGGTGAGAGTAATTCCCGGATCGAGAGCCAGCTGAGACTGCAGTACGCCAACAAGATTCGCAACTCCACGGATGCGTACAAGAAAGCCGTTTACTGCATTCTTCTGGGCTGCGACGTCAACGAAGTGCACGGTGAGGTGGCCAAGACCATTGACGATTTCCTGTGGATCCGGCTCTCCATGCTTCGTCCTGGTGACGCCGTCGGCTACGGTCAGCTGCAGACGCTGATTCTGGATAAATACGGCGAGAAGTACTTTAATGCTAGCCAGCAGCCGTACCTCTACTTCCAGACCCTCGCCCTCACGGGGCAGTTTGAGGCCTCCATCGAGTTCATGGCTCGGCGGGACAGCACCCGTGTCCATGCTGTCCACATGGCCATAGCCCTGCACGAGTTGGGCATGCTGGGCGGAGCTCGCAGCGTTTCGCAGCCACTGCTCTCCATCGATATCGTCGATCCGCAGCCATTGCGTCGCCTAAACCTATCTCGTCTCATCCGGCACTATGTGCAGCGTTTCGAACGCACGGACACCACGGAGGCCCTGCACTATTACTACACTCTGCGGTGCTTAAGGGATCCCAAGGGACGAAACATGTTCCTCACGTGCGTCTGCGATCTGGTGGTGGACAGTGGTGTCTTGGACACCTCCAGATTCGACCTAATATTCGGCCCGCGGCAGGCTGAGGTTGACCAGGATGAGGTTACAGGGTGAGTTCAGTAGATTTTGTGAACTTTAATTTAATTTATAGCATTTTATTAGATATCCTAAGATCCAATGACTGATTTATATGTATTTTATGTTTCCAGTGGCCTTTTCCATCAATTCGATTGCCCGGAGTTTGACACCCGTACCATGGCCGGAGTTGTTGCCGAAGAGTTGGCTTCGCGCGGCAACTTTGAGATGGCGGTGCGTCTTTACGAGATGGCTGGCAGGTATAATCTTGCCCTGAAGCACTTGTCCATTCTGCTGGCCCAAGTGGTTCAGCTGCCCACCGTGGAGGGATCGTTGCGGGCACGGCTGGAGCCAGAGGCGGAACGCTTTAGCCGGCTCTTGGCCAGCGATAGCATCGAAGTGGAGCCAAAGATGAGGTGCAGCTTTGTGCTGCTAAAGGATCTGCTCATTTTCTTCAACTATTTTCACGAGGGTATACTCGATGCTGCCTTGGAACAGCTGCAGCGCACCCGACTGATGCCCAGCACAAGCGACGACGTGGAGCTCTGTCTGGCCAATGTGAAGCGCCTCAGCGGTGAGGTGATCAAGGTGGTGCCCGACGTAATTGTGGCAGCCATGGAGATTACCCACAAACAGTACAAAAAGTTGAAGGCGGACGGAAACGTTGGCGCTCTGGAACAGCGTGAGGTGCAGTCGCTGCGGGAGCGGGCCAAGGCACTGTCCAACATGGCCGCAACAATGCCGTATCGTCTGCCGTACGACACCAACCGGCGGCTGATGCAGCTGGAACTGGTGATGCACTGAATAAAGGTATTTTAAGCTCTGAAGAGATTCCTGAGAGCCTCTCATTTCATTAGCACTATGATGTACTCCTCTTCCTCCTCCTCCTCATTGTGAGTAAGATCCCTTTGTTTTTTCTCCAGCTCTTTAATACGAAGGAGAGCAGTTTCCAGTTGTTGTTCCAGTTCATGACAGTTGCCACAGGATTTTGGTGGGTTACCCTCCTTGGAGTATTCCTCGTCGATGCCTTCGTCCTCGCTTTTAAAGTACAGCTTCTTCACGGGTTCAAACTCACTCTTGACGCGCTCTTCCAGGGGATCTTCCTCGTCCAGACCCAAAAAGAACTCCGGCTTGGAGTCCTTGGGCAGGTTGCTGTTTCTGTTGGGCAGCAAGCTCCTGCGGAAGTGTCGTCCGCAGATGAACAACCACTTGTTGTCGCCCGTGAGGCGACATATGTCGAGCCACTCTTTTCGAAGCTGCGGATCAGAGGGAAAGAAATGCAGCCTGTCTGGTGGGGAACGTGATTGGCAGTTCCTGACGCTGCATTTTCGAACAAATGACTTTCTTCTCGTTGGGATGCTGTGATGCCGCACCTCTTTTTTACCTGGAAATCGGTGAAAATGAGGCAGAAGCTTGAAAGGATCCATCTGTTGGTGGCTTACCCAAGAAAAGTGTTGGAACTGCCCAGGAGAACACCTTGGCCTTTCCGAAACACTGTGATTCAAAGTGACGTCGGCACACCCGCTGATTGTAGAGATTTTGATGTTTTGCAAGTCCTATGTTTTCCGTCCACTTGGCTCGGATAACCGGATTAACCGGAAACTTATACATGGAGCGCTTGTCCTGGTGGCCACTTTCGGCACAATTTGGTACAATACAGCGAAGATTTCCGTTCTTTGATTTTTTTCTCATTTTTTCGGCCGTGTTAACTATTTGGCTTAAACAAGACTGTTGCGTGGGTAAGAGAAAGGTGAAAGCCACAAGTGTTGGTAGGCGCTTCAAAAGGTAAATTTGGGTCAAGATCAGGGCCATGGTCGTCTTGAGCGGCCAGAACGGTAATCTCTATAACCAGGCATCTTACTTTCAAGTTTCATTAGTATCCGCTGAACACACTACCGGTAAAGTGATCCATTGTTTAGTGAAATGTCCAATATTTAAATGGCTTGTTTGTTTGTTTTCTTTTTAACTGAAATTTATTTGAATTTAATTTTGTGTGCGTTTGCAGTATTTTTTAGTACATTTTGTGCTACCTTCATGATTATTCAAATACGGTCACTCACACTTTTTTAATTTACCCGCACAATTCTGTTAACTCTGGGTTTCATTTCACCCGCAGAAATTAGTTCTCTCTCATTTTTTGAAATGTTTTTTAAATTCACCCGCAAAATTCTGTTAACTTTCTTAAGTTGTGTGACCAGTGTGCCAGTCTAACGGAAACATCGATTGGTCAAAAATATAGATGATTTTAAAAGTTACAATCGATGTTTTCATCGGTTTTCTCCGCACCTCTACTTTGCACTACCTGATGGAATTTCTAAAAATTCAGAAACGGTCACTTTGAAAACGAAGCAACATTACGACGCGTTCGCGGCGCAAAAATTTTTAATATAATTAAATTCCGTACATTTCCGCTGAACAAATCCGAATCTGAGCACAAAAACGAAGTGTGCTGTGTGTGTAAATGGCATTGGTCAAGGTGGTGCCTCTGGCAGAACGTCGTTGAAGGAAATATTAATTTTTGTTGCCTTCGTTACGGAAAAGTGCCTTGACTGCCCGTGTGTGAGTGTGCGTGCGTATAATTAAACAAAAGTATTAAGCAAACTCGCATATTTTGCAATACGCTCGCTGCGAAAGTAAAAAGAGAGTCCGTGATAATTGTCGCAGCTGCTGCGTCGCAGGCACTTCCTTCTTGTTTTTGTTCGGGACACGAATTTCATATATTCGCAGCAGCTGCCTGTTGTTCAGTGTCTGTGTGTGTTAAAGTGCGCCTTGTTGTTGTTTCACCGCTCGTTAACCACTACCTTGAAAGATAGAGAAAGAGGGAGGCGAGAGCAAAGCAGAGTGCAAAGTTGATGCCGTTCAACTAAGCCTTTGATAGTGACGACAACAACAAATACGAATTAACTGTGAGTGTGCCAGTGTGTGTGTGTGGCGGCATTAGTCACTTTTGGTCTTGGCTTTTAACTTTTTGTCCGCTTTTGGAGCGCATCGCCAAAGAGGGTCTTGAAAAGCAAAAAGAGAGACGGAGATCGGATCGGATCGAAAAGGTTAGTTACCCGCAGTTGACATTTATTTGTATTTGCTTGTTTTTGCTCCACCCATCAGTTCGCCCGTGCCAACTTTATTCATTATTATTATTATTTTTCGTTTTCATTGAAGTTTGCACAAGCTTCATACATATTTACTCGATTGAAATTCGCCTCAAGGTCGTATTTGTTAATTAATTAACTGTTTGTCTGTGCGCTTTGTTATTAGTATTGCCAGAGAAAAATAAAAAAAAAAAACATTGAAGCTATTGTACAACACGAAAATATTGCATAAACGCGATATGCTACGTTAGTTCCGACGGCTTACTTAAGCAGCTTATACCGATAAGGGGAACGCTGTGACATTTATGGATGAGAACCCAGCACCCACAATATTTTATTTTCACCCTTTGCAACTGAACAACTGTAGGAATTGGGTTACAATCCCAATCACATACACCGAAAATGCATTACTTAAGCTTCTTTTCCCTCGAAAAAAAATTAAGACTCTGGGCATTTCGTTTTCGTTTTGTCACTTTCGGGTGCAGCAGGTGTAGCAGTTGCAGTTGCGCTTACCTCACTTTCCAGCTGACTGACTTTTCAGCCTATTCTCACATGGCTCTCTCATGGCGCCATTTGGCATACCGCCAACTAACATGTCTTCCATTTGCTCCTCTCATCATCCCCCGGTCATAGTTGATAAGACTTTTTTTCCAGAATAATCATCATCAGAAAACAGGAAGTTTTTATCGCTGAACTGCAAGAGAGAAGTATGAGCTAAGTCATTCATGACGAATAAAATATATCATACTTTTAAATTTACATTTAAATAGAAAAAGCTAGGAAGGAAAATCACTTTCGGAAAGCTAAAGTTTTTGTACACTTGCAGTTTCCAATTGAATTAAATATGATCGTATCGGAAATCGATCATACCTAAGCTTTAAATATCCGCATTTCTTTGAATTTTGCTGACTGATCCTCCAATCGCAGCCTTAACTACTTTTGAATTTTATGTGCAATGCACCGAGCAGTCCTATGTGTGCTATTTACTATTTAATACACAAAAGACAAAAGAATAAGGACTAAAACTAAACAATTTTTTGTCCAAAGGCAGAGTGGTACAATCTGTATCCTCTATGTAGAAACAAAAGTTTCTTTTCAAAGGCATTTGTTTCAGCAAAAGAACAAGATTTTGCATACACTCGATACACACATGTGAATGCACTTAAACATTGTGGGTGTCTACCATTCCAAAGGGCTGCTGCTGCAAGCATTCCAGCTCCGATTGTATTCAACTTTGACCCACATTCGGCAAGTGTCGCCCCGCCATGGAACGCCATGAGTGGATTGGATTGGATAAAGGAGGAGGAGGAGAAGGAGGCGTCTCCGTGATGGATGTCAACCGTGCAGGCCGCGCTGCATGCATATATATTTTATGTTCGAACGTGCAATTTTTAGCCAGCATTGTTTGGCCAGAATTTGTCGGCGCAACAAAACTACATTGTATGTATGAGTAGTCTGTCTCTATGAATCGCTGAGTGTGTGCAAATACGCTTTTAGAATGAGCTGCACGAGCTCTGGAATGGCATATAGAGATGAGTGTTGGTTATGTGTAGAAAAAAACAAAACAGGGAAACGTGCTGACATCGTAGAAAAATACAGTCTATATTACCAATTTTTATTTCACCTATCCAAGTACACTTTTTTTCTTTTCGTTCTACAGAAAACGGAAAAGGAAAATATACGAGCAGACAATGCAAAAGCTTGATACTACTACTTATAATAAAAAACAAAACCCGTTTTTAACGTTTCCATTTTGATTATATTCTTCTCTCTGGTTTTGTCCCGTCTCCCTTGCGGTTGAGTTTCGGCTATTTAATCATTGGGAAGCTGTTTTTTGGCCATTCGCCTAAAACGCTAATTTTGCGCTGATCAAATATTTACACACATGTGGTGTGTGTGTGTGTGTGTCTGCACATATATGTTTATTTGACTAGAATCTAGATTGTTGTCGCGCCAGATTCAAGCTGTGTCCATAAACACTCATTAACCGCTGGAGAATCAAATTAATCTTTAACCCTCTGATGATAAAGAGCTCTTATTTACCGAACCCGAAGCTCCTCCATTTCGATTAAACCTTAACCTCAAAGACATGCACAAAGCATGGCTCTGTTCCACTCTCATCTCGATCACTCTTTATCTGGTTGATGTAAATTGAATGACTTTTCGGGCTTTGTTCTTTGCTTTGTAATTTGCTTTAATTGCATGAGCGCATTGCGGGCACGTTTTCCCCGACATTACGTTACGTTATATTGGGCAGGTTGAAAAAAAAAGAAGACCGTTTTATAAGGAAAAACAATACAAAAAGCGAAAAATTGAGGCGTGTTTTTATATAGGTTCATTTAACTTTTCATGCCTGGCATTAAATTCAATTGACTTCGGCGCTACGCAGTGCGTCGCCTTCGTTTCGTATTGATGTGATATGGAGGCTTTTGTTGCTGCTGCTCCCGTTTGCTATTTTTACGCTACACACAAAACAAAATTTATGATATTTAACAATATTTATACAGGTTTGATTTTGATTGAATTTTTTTTGTTGTTTTTACGTTGATAAGATGAAACCTTAGGAACCTTCGGAAATGAGAGAAGGTAGAGCAAAGCTTAGGTTAAGGTACATAATGTTCTAAATTATTTATCGAATATATAATCTGAATCAGTAAAAGATCTCTTAGTATTATAAATGGGATTGGGATTACATTTCTGTAATACTATAACCAGTTTGAGTTAAAGATACTTAAAGTTTTCTGAAATTTAAATGCGAAACAAAAGTGATTGCTATTTATTTATATTACCATGTAGATTTATAATTACAAAGTCTATATCTTTATCTATTTTTAGGGAAACGGATAAAGTATTTATGTGTGTTTGTTATATTGTTTTCGGTGCAGTTTCAGGCACAAGTTAATGCTCTGCTCAAGGAGCGTTCGTGGCAGAAGTCAAAGACTAATGGACACTTGTAGACCTTTGTAATATAATTGTGGTCTAGTTTTTTTATTTTGCTAGTGAAAATAGAAGAAAATAAAGAAGCCGTCAAGGTCATTATGCCCGCTTTGTGTCTGTTTTGTATGAAAATGTCGAAGTATTAGCAACGGCGGCCGTGCCAAAGAAAAGCAGATCGGGGAAAGAGAGATTGCACGTTTGGCGGGCACAATCTATTAAATACAAAGCATGGAAATTGCTCTTTTAAATGCAATCCTCTGGCTAACAACGTGTGTGAATCCATTCGATTATTAATATCTTTCGCTCTCACTTTGCTTTGAGGCAGTGGCTCTGGCTTTGGCTCTGGCTTTGGCTCTGGCTCCTCCCCGAACAAACAGACAAGACGAGATCGATGTGTGGTGTTTGTCACTTTCTTTTGTTCTGCTTTCCTCCGGCTTCCATTGTTTGTGAGAGCTTGCTCGGAACGTGCGGTCAAGCTTGAGGATGGGCCAAACCATACGATGGTTGCTCCGAAGTAAAAGTTGCCCCAAGCCCAAGTGCCCCGCATCACGAACAGTATTGACTGGGCCCACACACCAGTCTGTCACCGTTTGTGAGTCATCTTGGCTTCCATCTCACAAGATTTTAAAGACCTTTCTAACCGAAATCAAACAGATGTTAACATTTGTAAATAACTAACAATTAGCTGAACATTTTCACAGCCCTAATTCTCGCCGTTTTCTTCTTAACTCAAGGAAGTCTCACGTGAAAACCGGTTAGTTAGCATTGACTGGCATTGACTCAAACGTTATCACTTGAGCTTGAACCATAGAGAATACAGGTAGCTCTATTACACACTAGGCAAGGCCTTAACAGATTTCAAGTTATATACAATATGTGATGAGTATTTATTGTGTGGTAAAGGTGTAAAGAAAAGCTTTGGCAATAAGCTGAGAATTGCTTGGAGAGAAACACGT